GCCATGACACTCAAAATTGAGCTGTGGTGCATCCTGTTCCCACTGATCATCCTTGAGATGTTTCCACAACTTGATTGGAGTCCACCTGTGGGAAATTTAGTTGATTGGACATGATTAGGAAAGGTATAAACCTGTCTATATAAGGTCCCACAGTTAACAGTACATGTCTGAGCACAAACCAAGCCATGAAGTCCAAGGAATTGTCTGTAGACCTCCAAGATAGAATTGTATCAAGGCACAGATCTGGGGAAGGGTACAGAAACATTTCTGCAGCATTGAAGGTCCCAATGAGCACAGTAGCCTCCTCCATCTGTAAATGGAAGAAGTTTGGAATCACCAGGAATCTTCCTGGAGCGTGCCGCCTGGCCAAAATGAACGATCAAGGGAGAAGGACCTTTGCCAGGGAGGTAACCAAGCACCTGATGGTCACTCTCAAAGATCTCCAGCCTTTCTCTGTGGAGAGAGGAGAAGCTTCCAGAAGAACAACCATCTCTGCAGCACTCCTCTAATCAGGCCTGTATGATAGAGTGGCCAGACGGAAGCTACTCCTCAGTAAATGGCAAACGGCAGCCCGCCTGGAGTTTGCCAAAAGGCACCTGAGGAACTCTCGGACCTTTAGAAACAAAACTCTCTGGCCTGAATACCAAGCGTCATGTCTGGAGGAAACCAGGCACCGCTCATCACCTGACCAATACCATCCATACAGTGAAGCATGGTGGTGACAGCATCATACTGTGGGGATGTTTTTCAGCGACAGGAACTGGGAAACCAGGATCGAAGGAAAGATGAATGCAGCAATGTACAGAGATATCCTTGATGAAAACCTGTTCCAGAGCGCTCTGGACCTTAGACTGGGGCGACGTTCATCTTTCAACAGGACAATGGCCCTAAGCACACAGCCTATTTAACAAAGGAGTGGATTCAGGCCAACTCTGTGAATGTCCTGGAGTGGCCCAGACTTGAACCCGATTGAACATCTCTGGAGAGATCTGAAATGGCTGTGCACTGACGCTCCCCATCCAGCCTGATGGAGCTTGAGAGGTACTGCAAAGAAGAATGGGAGAAATTGCCCAAAAATAGGTGTGCCAAGCTTGTAGCATCATACACAAAATGACTAGAGGCTGTAATTGGTGCTTAAGGTGCTTCAACAAAGTATTGAGCAAAGGCTGTGAATACTTATGTACATGTGGTTTTTTCGTTTTTATTTGTAATAAATTGCAAAGATTTCAAAACTAACTTCTTTCAGGTTATCATTATGGGGTATTGCTTGTAGAATGTTGAGGAAAAAAAATGAATTTAATCCATTTTGGAATAAGGCTGTAACATAACAAAATGTGGCAAACGTTAAGCGCTGTGATTACTTTCTGGATGCACTGTGAATTTCTTAATGCACGAAAATCACGAGTAGTGAATTTTTTTCCATTGTTCCATCAGTTTTCTAGCAGTTTTCTTTTTCTTATGCTCTTCATCAAATATAAATTTGTAAGTGAGTTTGGTTAGTTCTGATACCAGGGCTACCCCTGACACCCACAAGATATCCCCCAGTGGGTCCACATGTTTTGTCTTGTGTTTAATATGTTTCTTATGTATATCTGTTCCACCTGATGGCGCTAGTTATAGCTCCTGCGTGGGCGGACTAGGTGCTCCTTGTACTACTGTGCCTTTTGTTATTGCTGAATAAAAATTATTGAACAGAAAAATTCTCAACACAAATGCCAGCTTTTTGGGCTTGGGATCCTAGGCACCTTGTCGGTGCATTCTTCTTCAGAGGAATATTTTCTCCCAATAAACATTTTGGAACTTTGGATAATACGGCTGTCTTTTCAGCACTGGACTAACCTGTTGTGTTGAACCATCTTATCCATATTCAGTCAGACAACTCCACGCCAGTGGTTTATCTCTATCATAAGGGAGGACCCTAGGTCTTTCTGCATCAAGAGAAGAGCTGATTTTTATTTATTTTTTTTTGGGCAGAACTTCACATTCCTGCTTTGTCAGCCATCTACATTCCAAGTGTAAAACAGTTGGCAGGCGGATTTCCTCATCTGACAGTGTCTGGACCCAGGAGAATGGTGTCTACACCCAAAGGTGTTTCAGGATCTGTGCCACACCTGGGAGATGCCACATATGGATCTTCTTGCCTCCACATATAACAAACTGAACAGGTTTGTTTCCAGGTGCAGGGATCCACTGGCAGAAGCAGTGGATGCTCTTGTGGCTCAATAGGATCAATGCATCCTAATCTATGCCTTTCCTCCCCAAGACTTCCTCCTTATCTGCTCCGCAGGATCAAAATTGAGGACTTTCCGGTGATCCTTTTTGCTCTGTTTTGGCTCAGGTGGATGTAGTACATTGACCTGGTAAGACTTTTAGCAGATGCACTGTGGGCTCTGCCAGACAATATGTAAATACTGTTCCAAAGGCCAATTTGCCATCCTGCTGCTCTGTCACTGTCTTTGAAGACATAACTGTTGAAGCCCAGGTTCTAAGGGACAACAGCATCTGAAAATAAAATAAAACAAAAGCACACTGGCCTAGCGCATTATCCCAAATACAAATTTATTAAAAAAAATAAATTAGATATACTCACAATCGAGTGAAGACTAATTGCATAGCAAGTGACAGTTACTGAGTGTGTGTTACACAGAAAACCAAAAGCCCGACATCAAAGAAGTGCCATCCGAAGGCCAACTAAAGGCTGACGCATTTCGAGGGAAAACCCCTCTTCCTCAGAGCTCTGTACTATGGACTCTCTGATTAAGACCTTTGTGCAGGGCGACTCCCACGTGGTTCCCTCTGCCTGTTCATCCCTTACTTTGTGGGATCTAGACCTTGACCTTTCAGTGCTTTAAAAGCTGGCGTTTGAACCCATTATGGACCTTTCTTTGTACATTTATCCATAAGCTTGTTTTATTATCCTTTGCAAGGCAAGTGTCTTAACTGGTGGCCTTATCTTGCAAAGAGGCCCTTTTGGGCTTGTGTAGGAACAAGCTGCTCTTAAAATCCAGGACTTCCTACTTGCCTTAATCAGAAAATTGTATTTCTGTTCCTTTGTCAGACTCCAGTTCATGAAAAGGAAATTTCCCTCCATTGTCTGAATGTGGTTTGAGCTGTGTGAATCTATTGCTCAGTCACTGCTTCTTTCAGAAAGACTGCCTTTTTGTCATTCCAGATCGGTCCTAGAAGGACTCCCCAGCTTCTAGTTTTACCACCTTTACATGACTAATTCAGACCATTTTTCAGGCTTATGTTTTTTTTCTCCTTTCCTGTTATGCTCACTCCAGTAGGGCTGTGAATTTCTTATGGCTTTTCGGTTTCCCAGATTTTCTACCATGTGGGAGTTTTTGCCTCATCTGATGAGGTTTTGTCACAATTTTTTGTCTGCTGTTCTTATTTTTGAGAGGAACCGCCTAAGTACGGTTTTGTTCTATATAGTGTGTCTTTAAAACAGATCCATAGTAAATAACTTGGCAACTGATTGTCAGACAAAGCTGGTAGTCGTCATGTTCAACCTTTACCTTAATTCACTTTTACTCAGGCATAACGTTTTTTTACGAAGGACAATCAGAGTTTGTAACAAAGCTGAATAGCAAGGTACTTTACTGACCTACATAGCTACATAGTATAATTGTTCTCTTTTATGCCGATAAAGCATTTTCCTATCCAGATATAATTCAAGAATGCTTGAGAGCACAGATTGGAATACAAGGGAAGACGTGTCCTCTTTATAGTGTAAAAGAATCCAAAGTAACCTCATGTATTGCCGATGTGCAAGTAGTGTGTACACCCCAACTTGTAACTAGTAAAAGAGAAGTCTAGTGTGCAATGAGATGTCAAAACTCTAGTTACCCAAAGCAGCTAGTTAGGTAGGATACATTAGCTTTCAGTGCTGGTAGTTTTTCGGCTCAGAGAATGCTTCCTTAGCCTCTTGTCTACCAAGGCACTTTTTATAAAGGGTCTGGTTTTAAAGGGGGTAAAACAAGCTCACTGCTGCTGTTGTAAACATGTTTTTGTTTTTTTCAGCCAGTGATTGAGTTGCCCGATTACTTTAAGACTTCATGCACACTGGATGTTTTTACAGCTGCTGTTTTTGGCTTTTGGTGGTTTTTTCTGCAGCCACTAAACCCCCCAGTATGTTATCCTATGTATCCATGCACACATAGACTGGAATCAGCGTTTTTTGGCTGGAAAAAAACCCCAGAACTAGTGGGTTTCTAGAGAAGTTTTTTTTAGCTGAAAAATGTGGCAAACCAGTGTTTTTGGACCTTTTTTTGAGCAAAAAAAATATTAAAATTTGTTTTGGCTAAAAAACCTCACGTTTTTAACATGACTTTACACAGCTAACGTTACCAGCGTTATTGAAACGCCCAGAGTGCATGGCGCCTTACAGTACTGGGAAGGTGCCCCTTGTGATTTTCAGATAGAAGCCCAGGATGGAAGTAAACCACTGTTTCTTGACAAGCAAAACGCACTCAGGGGAACATCCGCTCCTCTTGGTCTCCTTTTCAATGAATGAGTTCAGACACAGCAAGCATTTTGACACTTCTAAATTAACAGTGGTCTTTCCCAGGCTGTTGTAGCCAAGTAAGCAGCTAATCGAGCACAATCTGTGCTTGATTAGCTGCAGTGGAGGGCAAGAGAGACATTGGGAACTAACAGAAATCTTCCAATAAGCATACTAGTTCTGGTGACCTTGAGGTCCCCTAGGAATTCCCTTCATTTGCAGAGATTTCCTCTCACTTTCTGTTTTGGCTATGGGACAGTGAAGGTAAATCTCCCCAATGGGACACAGATGGGGGAAAAAAAAAAAGAAAAAAAAATAAACTGACGGGTTATACGCTTCCCTTACTCTATCCAAAATGGAAAAAAAAAGTTTTGCCTACAGTTCCACTTTAAGCTTACTTTTGCATAAAACTGAGTTGTTTTTTGTTTACCTATTTGTACAGAATAAAATTATCTATTTGATGTTGCTAACATGCTTTTTGTTTTTTTTGTTCCAGTTAACTGGGAAACTGTTTGGCGAGCAAATACCACCAAGAAATTCCTGGTGCACACAGGCATGAACAGAAATGTGGGCCTGCTACGAATATTCCCTGGAATTACTGCTGCCACTGTACGACTATCCCTTCTTTATTGTACATCAGCTAATGGGTGAAACAAAATTGACACAATTCCCCCATTCACACATTTGGGGGAATCCTCCCAGCTTATATTATGACAGTAGAGAGACTCCTCCGCTGTCACAATACACTTGAATTGAAATTTGGCCAATTCCTGCCTGGAGGTGTGGATTTAAAATAGAATAGGACAATTTTTTTTTAAAGAACCTCATGTTTGTTTTTGTTTGTGTTTTGGTGAAGCACAGCTGGGAAGCTATGTATATGGGCATGTGTGTGACTCAAGATGGGTGAGGATTTAAGGAAGTGGACAAAATAGTCTGTTATACTTTGGATGGCCTCGTTATTTATCTCTGTAACCCAGTGCTGGCCCTACGCTCATTCGTTTAGGTACCCAGCTCCAGAAGGGATGTGAATGCCGACTAGTACAGCAGATGCTGGGACTGCATTAAGTAGGTCCATACAGCTTCTGGGGGGAGGGGGATGTCTCTGGTAGTGGCTAATCATTTTGGTTTTTTTTTTTTTTTTTAAATAATGGTGTTGAAGTCACTGTCAGTTTTTCTACATGCAGGGCAAAGCAATAGGTTCCTGAATGGTAGCTACCACCAGCAGCTTATATTTTCCTCCCCATCAGTGCTCCATTCACCTATTGGAAATGGAGAGGTAGCTTTCTGTAAAGCCCAAGTCATGACTTTAAGACTGCACATGATTGAATAAACCCTTCCCACATGGCAGTGCAAGGTGCTTGAATAGCCAATCACCAAGCGCAAGTGTTGTACTTCTTTTTGTTTTGGTAGTCAAACAGAGCAAAGCAATGGAAGCAAAGTTAGGGCGGCTACATTTCTACATACAATGAGACTGTGGAGAACAAATATAGCATCTTCTAAGAGAAAGTTGGTTCACAGCAGCAAAAAAAAAAAAAAAAAAAAAAAAAAAGGAATTTGGAGGAGGTTGAAAGAAAAAGGTTGTTTTTTGCGTTATGAATACATACTCAAATATATATATTTTTTTTTAACTAGAGTTTAGTGTCACTTCAAATATAAGAGGCTGGTGGGGCAACAATTTAAAGTGAACCTGAGGCTTGTCCTGTGTTTCAACATTTGGGCTGAAACATCAATCCTGTGCATGTCATGACTAAGGCCCAAGTGAAAGGACTATATTTTCACTGTTGTGGATATTAACATGGTTACAGAAAGCACATTGTGGTGGAGAGATTCACTTTTTTTTTTTTTTTTATTCACCCAGGTAAAGGCTTTCCTTCAGCCACCAATGGAAGGCATTGTGCTGGAGACCTATGGCAGTGGGAATGCCCCAGACTGCAGAACTGATCTGCTTCAAGAACTAAAATCTGCCACGGAACGTGGAGTGTTAATCATTAATTGCACTCAGTGTTTGCGGGGTTCTGTCACAGCGTCATATGCAACAGGAAAGGTTGGTAGTTTTAGTACATCTGTCTGTTGCAGATTTTGTTTCTGCCTTTAGCAAGTTTCAAGTATATGTGAATCTGACGGACCACATGAAGAGGTTTTCTTGGTAATTTACAAAAGCCAGTCAGAAACAAGCAACTTGGTGCCTACAGCTTTTGTTGTAAGGAGGCATTCTGGGACTACTTGTTTAACAGCTGCAGACTTCAAACTGTCCACTATATGGCTCAATTTTATGGAGGGGCCTGAAGTTTAATTACCTCTCAATCTCTTTAACCACTTGCTATCCTGAGAATTTACCCCTCTTAATGACCAGGCCTCTTTTTGCTATTCGGAGCTGCACTATTTCAACTGATAAATGCGCGGTCATGCAATGCTGTACCCAAAGGAAATTTACGTCCTTTTTTCACACAAATAGAGCTTTCTTTCAGTGGTATTTGATCACCTTTTTTTTCAGCAATTTTTCTTTTTCGCACTATAAACAAAAGACTGAAAATTTTGAAGAAAAACAATATTTTATACTTTCAGCTATAAAAATATATATAGTAAACTCAAAGTTAGTCATAAATTTAGGCCAAAATGTATTCTGCTACATGTTTTTGGTAAAAAAAAAAAAAATCCCATTAAGTGTATATTGATTGCTTTGTATGAAACTTATAGCGTCTACAACCTGTGGCATAGACCATTTTTTTTTTCTATACAGCGCTGCACTAGTTTAACTGACAATTGTGCGGTCATGCAATATGGTGCATAAATGAAATTTACGTCCTTTCACACAAAATGCAACTTTCTTTCGGTGGTATTTGATCACCTGTTTGCTTTTTATTTTTGGCGCTATAAACAAAAAAGGTTTTGAAAAAAAAAACAATATTTTCTCATTTCTGTCATTAAAAAATATCCAGAAAACTCAAATTGCGTCATAACTGGGCCAAAATGTATTCTGCTACATGTTTATGGTTAAAAAAAAATCCCAATACGTGTATATTTATTGCTTTGTGTGAAAGTTCTAGCATCTACAAACTATGGTATAGATCAGGGGTGGGCAAACCTTTTGACTTGAGGGCTGCAATGGGTTCATATATTGGACCCGGGGGCCGGACCAAGAGTAGATGAATGATGTGTATGTGTCATCCATAGTAAGTATAGTAATATTCCCCCATAGTAAGCATAGTAATTCATCCCCCATATAGTAATTCATCCCCCATATTAAGTCCCCAAGTCCGCCCTGTGTCAATTTACTTACCTTTGCTCCGCGCGTTCCTCTCGCCGTGTTCCCGCGCCATTCCGGTCTTCAGGGCGGACTGTGAGAGGAGCCTAGCTCCCCTCACGTTCCTCACGCTGCCCCGCCTACACACATTCTGACAGCCGATGTTTGCCACGCTCCGCGGGCCAGATTAAAAGGTCCGCCGGGCCGTATACGGCCCGCGGGCCATAGTTTGCCCATTGCTGGTATAGATAATGGAAGCTTTTACTTTCTGACTGCCCATCACATTTCTTGAGGTGCTAAAATGCCAGGATAGCACAAACACCCCCAAATTACCCCTTTTCGGAAAGTAGACACCCTAAGCTATCTGCTGAGAGGCATGTTTAGTCCATGGAAGATTTTTTTTTTTTACGCAAAGTTGTCATTTAAATTTATATATTTCTCACACAAGCCACGGGTAGATCTGGAATTACACCCCAAAATACATTCTGCTACGTCTACCAAGTATGGGGACACCACATGTGAGACTTTTTGTGAGCCTAGCCACATACAGGAGCCTGAAACCCAATGACTACTTTGAAAGCCTGGTCACAGTTTTGGAGGCCCTGAAATGCCAGGATAGCTCCAACCCCCCCCCCCCCCAGAATGGAAATTTTACACCCCAAGGAATTTAAAAAGAGGCATGGCGAGTATTTTTCAGATTTCATTTTTCCTCACAAGGTTTTGAAATGTAAGAAAAGAAAAAATATGGTTTTGTTTTCTTTCTTCATTTTCCAAAAACTTTTGGCAACAAACGAGATCTGCAAAATACTTACCATGCTTCTTATCAAATTCCTTGGGGTGTCTACTTTCTGAAAAGGGGTCATGGGGGGGGGGGGGGGTTTAGTGCTATCCTGGCATTTCAGGGCCTCCGAAACTGTGATAGGTAGTCAGGAAGTGTAATGAGGAAATAAAGCCCTTTAAAAGCCTAAAGGAGCTTATTGGATTTTGGGGTCCTGTACTCGGCTAGACTGCCAAAAAGTATCTCACATGTGGTACCCCCATACTCGGGAAAAGTAGCAGAATGTATTTTGGTGAGTAATTCCACATACACCCATGGCACATGTGAGCAATAAATCATTAATGTGACAATTTTGGGTTTAAAAATTTTTTTATTTTTTTGTTATTTTCCAAAAACTTGTGGTAAAAAAAAATAAATTCTTCTATTGACTCAACATGCCTCTCAGCAAATAGTTTGGGGTGTCTGCTTTCCAAAAAGGGGTCCTTTGGGGGGTGGAGGCATTAGAAGTTTACGCCACATATCTTTCACTCTTCTAACCACCTGAAGACCAAGCCTTTTCTGACACTTTTTGTTCATATGAAAAAAATCTATATTTTTTGCTAGGAAATTACTTTGAACCCCCAAATATTATATATATATTTTTTAAAGCAGACACCCTATTGAATAAAATGGTGGGTGCTGCAATTTTTTGTGTCACATAGTACTCGCGCAGCGATTTTTCAAACGCAACTTTTTTTGAAAAGAATACACTTTTTACTTTTAATGCACCAAAATATATTGGCCAATTATTTGGTAAAATATAAAAGATGATGGTATGCCGAGTAAATAGATACCAAACATGACATGCTCTAAAACTGCACATGCCCCGTGAACTGGCGACAAACTACATACATTTTTAATATCCTAGGAAACTCTTTAAAAGCCTTTACAAGCTACCATTTTAGATTTACAGAGGAGGTCTAGTGCTAGAATTACTGCTCTTGATCTGACGTTCGTGGCAATACCTCACATGCATGGTGCAACCACTGCTTACATACCGGCACAGGTTCAATGCTCGCACACTCAGGTACACACGTTTTTTTTTTTTTTTAAGTTATTTTGATTTTTTAAATTATTTTTACACTTTATTTTCTTTTCTTTTTTTTTTTGATCACTTTTAATTCTATCACAAGGAATGCAAATATCCCCTTTAATTTCAATGGGCATTGTCATATATTCTTTTTTGAGAAATTTGGGTTTATCAGACTCTAGATATCTCCTCTGTCCTTACATTATTTGTCTAATCTCACCAAGAAATAAACTATATTTTGGACTTTTTGCTATAAAACATGTCCAGTAAAAAAAAATGTAAAAATCAAATTGCGTCATAAATTTAGGCCAAAATGTATTCTGCGACATGTCTTTGCTAAAAAAAAAAAAAAATCCCAATACATGTAAATTAATTGGCTTACGTGAAATCTATAGCGTTTACAAATGACGATATAGATACTGGAATTTTATATATATATATACACACACTAATAATTGCAGCGATCAGCGACTTATAACGGTACTGTGGCGGGCATTCTGACACTGGGGGGAACTGACTTGGTGTCACTGACATCCCCAATGACACCAATACAGTGATCAGTGCTGAAAAAAAGCACTGACACTGTACTGATGGCACTGGCAGGAATGGCTTAACATGAGGGGAAATCAAAGGGTTAACTGTGTGATGGGTGTGTTTTACTAGGGGGCTGGGGGGGGGGGGGAAATGTGCTTCACTGTAAGCACACTGCTCTGGATGGCTCTGCTTAGCCATCCAGAGCAGTGTGCCCAAACTGACAGGGAGGAGGGCTGTTGGTAAACAATGCAGCCCTGTCAGTGATCGCTGGTAATCACTGGGCGCCAGCGGGTAATCCCCAGCCGGGACCCGGAGATTGACACCCGGGACCACAGTCGGCGGCATGGGTAGGGTGCGCGCGTTGGCTTGCGCTCGCCCCCTACCCGTAAATGCGGAATCCCGTATATATACGTGATCCTGCGCACAGGGGCCGCCTTGTAGCAGTAAATGCACTGTGGGCGGTCCTTAAGTGGTTAAAGTATATGTGCTGGGGGGGGCGGACATGTAGTCTTACATACACTATATTGCCAAAAGTATTGGGCCAACCCTCCAAATCATTGAATTCAGGTGTTCCAACCGCCTCCATGGCCACAAGTGTATAAAATCAAGCGCCTAGGCATGCAGACTGCTTCTACAAACATTTGTGAAAGAATGTGTTGCTCTCAGGAGCTCAGTGAATTCAAGTGTGATACAGTGATAGGTTAACAGAATAAACTCTCCAGCGCTTTATACATCCCATTTCACAAAACACATTCCTCCAAGCCAAAGATTCCCAGTTGCCAGACACTCACTACCACATCACCCCCATTACAGATGCCCTATTTTCTGATCAAGACACAAGGTATTGTTCTTTATATATTATTCAGACAAACTTCATTCATTTTGGCTCTAATATTCAAAACATCTTTTTATTTTCTCATCCCTATTTTATTTTATTCTAATGGTATTCTTGAAACTTTTTTAGGGGGATGAAATGTTTTTATACGTCCTTAGTTGCTTGTTTTGATTTTATATGCAGTCCGTACTGTATATATTTTAGATATTGTCATACATTTGCATATATGATTTCCCATATGGGATTACGCAATATATTGTTCTTATTAATAATTCTTATTATTTTATTCGAGTTGTGGTGTGTGCATCCTATTGGTTGCAACAATGACGGAAATGTGCACTTTAGTTTTATTTTGCTCACATCAGCAATTCAGTTGTTATTCATGTGTAACTTTGATTCTCGTGTTCTCCTACCCCCCCCCCCCCCCTTTTAAAGAGCTTAAGGGGAGGAGCGAAGCTCTCCATGGCCTCAGCCATAGCCATTTATAACATGACCTACTACCAGGTCGGTCACCAGCTCTGAGGAAAGGGACTCATCCCTGAAACGTGTCAGCTAGCCAACCACACTGACAGTCAGACACCCTGCCACCATTCTACTAAGCTGTACATTTATGCTATGTTTGTGATTATTTTTTCATCCCTTTTTGTACTATAATAAACCTTGGATAATGCACTAGGGGTGTGCGCCTCCTGTTTGCTCTTTTTTATCGTGATACGTTGCCACCTGTGCAACAAGTCCATCTGCGAAATTCCCTTGCTACTAAATATTCCACGATCAGCTGTTAGTGGTATTATAACAAAGTGGAAGCAACTGGGAACAGCAGCAACTCAACCACGAAGTGATAAGTCACGTAAAATGACAGAGCAAAGTCGCCAACTGTCTGCAGAGTCAATAGCTAAAGACCTCCAAACTTGGTGTGGCCTTCAGATTAGCACAACAGTGCGTGGAGAGCTTCATGGAATGAGTTTCCATGGCCAAGCAGCTGCATCCAAGCCTTATATCACCAAGTGCAATGCAAAGCGTTTGATGCAGTGGTGTAAAGCATGCTGCCACTGGACTCCAGAGCAATGGAGACATGTTCTCTGGAGTGACCAATCACGCTTCTCTATCTGTCAATTCGATGGACGTGTTTGGGTTTGGTGATTGCCAGGAGAATGGTACTTGCCTGACAGCAGTGTGCCAAGTGTAAAATTTGCTGGAGGGAGGATTATGATGTGGGGTTGGTTTTCAGGGTTTGGGCTTGATAACCTACTTTTGTACATGGAAATCCTACTTTGCCTGATGTGTACACTGCCTTTCAATCCTAAAGATTTCTCTGCCTCGCATTCTGGCCTCTCTACAATCATGGCTTGACCAGAGTTTCGCTTGGGTGTTAAGGGACAGGTTTCACCCTTGTCCATCTTTTTTCAAAAAACTCTGGTTAAATTATCCTTGATGAAAACCTTTTATTCAAGGTGTTTTTCAGATTAGATCTCCCTTACAGTACCATGCGCTTCCTTGGGATCATAATTTGGTTCTCTTTGCCTGGCAGACACCATCCTTAGATCATTTAAAGAGAGTTCTCTGATAGATTCATTTTTGCAAAGTGGCTTTTTTAGTGGCTGTGTCTCTGAACTATCAGCTTTCTCTTGTAAGGAACCATTCCTGATCCTTCACAAAGACAAAGTAGTCTTACACCAAAGACCTAACTTTTTACCTAAGTTGGTATCTATCTTCCACCTCAATGGAGGCCTATCTCCTTACCTCTTTGTGCCCTTCTAAGCACCCTAAAGAGATCGCTCTTCATTGTCTGGATGTCTTCAGAGCTATTAAAGCCACAACTTCTATAAGAAAGACAGCTTTTCTCTTGGTTATGTTGTTGGTGCTTCACAAAAGACATCCTGCCTTAAAATCCATTCTTGCCAGTTGGTTAAGAGAACTCATTAGAAAACTTATACTCTAGTATAAGACACCTCCAGCACTCTTGCGTGCCAGATCGGTGTTTTCTGGACATTCTGACATCAAGCTACTGCCCAACTTTGAAAGGCCACCACCTGGTACTCAGTTTATACCTTCTCCAAGTTCTACTGGTGGACATCCAGGCTTCTGTCATGCATCACATGTCCATCAAAGCTTTACAAGTGTCCAGTCATCTGAATGTTCCAGCCTATATCCCAGGCTCTATGAATGAGGCCTGTGTCCTGTACTGTAATATCAGATAGAGAATTTACAAATACGTCAGAATTCCGCTTTTCTGTACTTTCAGATAATGTACTTTGCCTTGAAAACAAGTGCATCAACCACATCCAAGTTCGCACGCATTTGTGTGTGTGTGTGTATATATATAAAATTTTGTTTCGGTTTAGAATCTTTAAAAGGTACGTTTTTAGGACGCCATGTCGCTGACGAGAATTGAAGCATTTAGCAAGCTTTTCAAAATGTTGCTGGTGAGCAATGCAAAATGACACAAATTGTGAATTTTATTTGTATGCTTTATATTACAAAACAGGCATTTTGCTTGACAGGGCATTTGGAAAGATTCAGTGACAAAGCAAATCCCTGTTTTTTACACCAGTGCGAACAAGGCTCAACACAGCCACTTAACAGAAGATACTATTGGTTGCTTGTTTCTATCTCCTCACAGATGTTCTCCTTTCTGGTACATTGCGGGAGTCCTCAAAGTCATGACTTTCTGAAAGCTGGTACTTGCACACAGCTAGGAGAATGCATAGGAGGTTGCTCATGCATAAACATTGCACCACAGGGATAGAGGCCTTGGGATGTGTTTCAGAATACTGCACTGAATCTCTGTAAACACAGTACCCACAGCAACCAATAAGTATCCATCTTGTACAGGTCTGAATTTAGAGTATATTCTGATACTCTGGGTCACTGTACTCTAGAATTAAAACTCTGTTATACAGTCAGTGATGTTGGGTAGGTCTTGAAGGGTCACCAGCTCTTGATAAATAAAAACCACCAGCTGTGTCTCAGGAGATGGTGTATATCACACTAAAGTCAAATGAAAAGTAATTTATGTACCTGTAGATTGTAAGTACCTTTGGGGCAAGGTACAATCATAAATTGTTCCATTTCTCTGCAGGATGTTGCTGCAGGATCGATTGATCCTATAAAAATAAAATGTTTTAAAATATATACTGTATTGTTTGTATTGTACTGTAGCCATAGTGCTTCAAGAATTTCTAGTTTTCTAATTTATTGTGGGTTTTTTTTTATTTTGCTTTTTGCAGGCTCTTAGTGTGGTTGGGGTCATTCCAGGGTGCGATTTGACTCCAGAGGCAGCTCTAGCAAAGCTTTCGTACGTCTTGGGTAAAACGCACCTCAGCCTGGAGCAGAAAAAACAGGTAAGACCAGGGATCTGGACTTTACATAGCTGTTACTTCAGCATGCCATCGTTTCTAAAAGACAATCGCACATATTTGCCAGCACACCATGGATCTCCAATACGGTCTAAAAACATTTTTATTGCAAAAAGATCACATCACAAAAAGTGCAACATTTCAGAGCCGAACAGGACCACTTCAACAGGCATGTGATAAGGGTGCAACAGTGACTATACAGAAAATATACACATAAACCACCAATCAAAACCAAGAACATTTCACCACCCCTATTATCTGACATATCATGATGTCACAATCCCGCCAAAATATACAAAATATGTTTATAAAGAGTCTCAGTGCTGTGTATAAACCTCCATGTGCCAAAAATTACCTTATGACAAGTGCAGCATTTGTGGTACTAATATATGTTGTCGATCGGGCACACTAGCCCGGCTCCACTCCGGAGACGGAGCTGAATAGACACCAGGGACAGTGCAGCAAAGAAAACAAACCAAAGGTGAAAATGAAAGAAGTACCATGGCCAAACAGAAAAAAGAACCACAAAAGGAAAGGAAAAAAAGAGGAAGAAACAAAAACATAAAAAGGAGGAGCAGGAAAAGATCAAAACAAGAAAAAAGAAAACAAATATGGGAAAATAGAATAAGAAAAAATAAAAGGAAATCACAAATTATCAAACAAAAATAAAGTATGGAAAAAAAACAAAAAACGGGGGACTGGGGGGATAAAAATAGAAGCAACAAAACAATGGAAAAAGGGGGGGGGGGGAGAACCCCTAAGAACTAAAAGCCTCGCATAACACTTTCACCGGAATTTATCTCGGTGAAACAACCTACGCGGCTACATCAAGTGAAATTATCGCCAGTCCCAAAAGGGAACACGATCGATTAAAAAGGAGCAGGGTTGGAGCTGTGTAGTCAGGCCAGTATTCATATAGTAGGTAGAGAGAAAAAAAAAGGAAAGGAAAATAAAAATAAAAGGCAGACATAGTGAAAACACAATATTGACTACAAAACCTAAAACATCGTTGACCTTGCGTGTCCAGGTCAAAGGAAAACTGGTATCGGAGAGAAATTGAAAAAGTAATGTATATTATCTACTGTCAAGAAAACACGTAAATGACAGATTGGTGTTAAGACCATCGGGTTGTACTGTCCAACGTATATATATCCAGTACGCCTCACGGCAAACGAGTAATCAATTACGATCACCTCCCCTGATGGGTTGTTTGACATGTTTAATCACCATCCCCCATAGCTCATGAGTTTGGTGTTTAGTTGTCACAAAATGCACAGCTACTGGTTTACCAAGATCAATCTGTTTGCCCATCTCTGTTTTTGCCAAGGCGGTCCTAATATCGCTTCTGTGCTTTTGAAACAGTTTCTTAAATGGACCTATTTTCTTGCCAACGTAGGTTAATGCACAAAGGCATTTAAGGATGTAAACACAGAAATCAGTGTTGCAATTAAAATAGTCCCATATTCTATGTGTGTCAAACTCTCCACAAATGAGTGACTTGCATACATTGCAATTGAAACATTTGTAGCAACCCTTTCTCTGGGATATCCTAGGTGGAATTCTAGTGTACTTGTGTATTGGATTGGCCTGTACTAAATGATCCCTTAGTGTTTTACCACGCTTGTATGCCATCATGGGTTTCACCTTGATACTAGGTGATAAGGTGCCATCTGCCTGTAAAATGTTGAAATTCCGTTCTACCGCCTGTTTAATCCCTGGTTAAACCTATGGACAAACAATGGGTGATCAATCAGACTAGTAGTCCTAGGTCAATCGGTTAAAGCTTTGGCTAGAGCACGATCTAGCTCCTGAGCAGGTATCCACGATCTAAATACTTTTGGTACATTATCTCAAGTTGTTGTTGCCTATCATCAGTGTTTGAGCAAATGTGTGTAACGCTTGTAAATTGCGAAATGGGCAAGTTCCTGTGTAGTTGAGCAGGATGTGCACTATGAAAGTGGAATAATGTGTTTCTATCCTTGGGTTTAGTATAAAGGGATGTAGCAATGGTACTGTGGGTGTTGGTGATCATTTCATTAGGAAAAGCGTTCTGGCATGCTGAAATTTCAGGGTTAAACACTATCCCTAGAAACACATAATTCAGGAAGCCAACAAATATATAGAAATCATTATGACTGCCAGACCAGATAAGAAAGTTGTCATCGATATACCTCAACCAGCCCCCAACATGCTCAGTGAACAAAGTGTATGGGTATATGTGACATTCCTCCAAGTAACCCACAAACAGGTCTGAAAATGAGGGAGCTGCCGAGGCTACCCATGGCAGTACCTCAGATTTGTGTGCATGTCTTGCCCTCAAATTTGAAATGATTATTAGTAAGAAAAAAAACAAGGCATTCGATTACATATTCATTTGGTAAGACAGAGGAGCCCCGTTTGGTCAGGAAATGTCCAACTGCATGTAGACCTGTGTCATTGGGTATGCATGTATAAAGAGATGCAATGGCCATCATGGCCAATTTCTATCCTTCCTGAAATGAGGAAAAGCCCTCAGTTAATCTAGAAAGTCATTGGTATCACAAATGTAGGCTGGTAGTTTCTTGACAAGGGGTTGCAAATGAGAATCTATAAACTGGGATAATGGTTGGGTAATAGCCTCAGTGCCAGAAACAATCAGTCTGAACTTCAGGGGATTAGTCCCCTAAGGGATCTTTGGTAGTCCATAGTTCACTGGTATATGGAGATGGTCATTAAACAGAAATTCAGCAATCCCATCGGTTATCCAACCATTAGTTCGCCCAATTTCAGTCAGGTTCATCAGTCCATTCCAAGTACCTTGTGAGGGCACTGGGGCAACAGAAGCTTACACAGAGTGATGGTCTGGTGCAAGGGTTTCAAACAATATGATTTAAGTGCTGTTTCTTTCGCAGACACTGCTGCAGTGAGAGATGATTGCTTATTGATTGGTGTTGGTTAAGACACACTATTCTCATTACCCTAATAAACTGAAAATATATTACTCAAACATATGTGCTTTGTGCAGCTTATAGCACACTATTTTCTTTAGCATTTGTGTATTTTCATAGTGTGTAGTTAGATGGATAAAAATATTTATAAGGGAGTATATGTGCGTTTATTCAGTATAATTGCTGTGCCTTTTGCAGATGCTGTATGAAAATCTCCGGGGAGAGATGACAGTCAGTGCCACTGGTGCTAAAATCTCTCTAAGAGACAGCAAATTCATCCAGGTGGTCGCCAAGTCAGTTGGTGTGAGCTGCAAGGAGGTACATTTTCATCGGAAACTCAAGTTACATTTTTATAATTCCTCGTATGTAAGTAAGCTTCTGGACATCGTGTGATCCCTGTCTGTGGTTGGGGTATCAAAAAAATCTATTACATGTGGATTACTCTACTTAAAGCATAGCTTGTGGGCCTACTGTTGTACATCTCTATGGGTCCACAGATTTGGACAAAAACTTATAACAGAACTTTCAAGCTCTTATTTGTACCAAACAGTTGCTGGCCAACAGTGGCCTATAAACCGTTTCAGTGATGTTTGATAGAGTACTGCTGCACCCGGCCTTCATGAATTTGCTTCTAGGGCATTTCCAAAAGAAAACTTGCACCAAGTATAATATAGTAGCAACTATTGTTTATCTGTATTTAAAAACACAATTTGCCTAGCTGTCCTTTCAAAAACGTTATAGGTCACTAATCCAGACCAAGCATGTAAATCACAAGTTCTCGGTCAGTAGAGGTGAATCAACTTTGCAATCCTGAGAAAATTATTTCCCCCTGAAAATCTGTATTGCGTGGTTGGCTGAATAAGCACACAGATTGGGAAAGTCTGAGCTACTGAGTTGCATACTTGGATCTGTGTTTGCCATTCAAAGTCCTGAAGCTCTTGGATCTGCCTAGGCAAAACTAATATTTGTAATAGGGGAGTCTGTTTATTCATCTCCTGGTCCCTTATGGAAAAACTCATTGGGAAATCTTACATAAAGCTCTTACCTCTCTGGCTGCTTCTAACTACATTTGTCCCCTTCCCGCTATCCACCATGCAGTATATTGTTGTAGCAGGTGGGCAGACCTGGCATTGCAAATGTAGAATTCCTAATATCAGAGCCTTAGAGAGGAAAGAAAATCTGATGGTTTTGATCATCCAGCATCTACCAAAACTGAAATATCAGGCTTCAGTAGACTAATACTTTTAGGAAAGTCCAATAATCTTCTTTCTTACTTCTAATCCCCAACCTCAGGTAAGCCCTGAGCATTCATACATCCATTAGTTGTTTATTTTTAACGCATACTTGAGTTGAAACTACACCCAGTTTGTGCTCCATTTCCAATAATTACTGTATATTATATTTTCCATTGGGAGTTTTCTGTTTGGGATTGTTTGAATAATGTTTCTTGTGTTTTAATGACCCTTCCAAAATTAGATGGGAGAAGGCTTGCTACTAGTCAGAGTTAAAGAAAAAAAATTGTGAATCTTTTTGGCCAGTCTAGTTGTGCTCTTATCTTAGCAAAATAAATGTTTTACTTTTTGAGGACAGAATCCATGTAGATATGAACATTGCATTTTTAAGTGTAACTTCAGTACTAATATTTCTAATTTACAGGAATTGGAGGCAGTTAGAGATGCCTTGACGCCAGCTTTGGCTTGTGCTGCTGCTAAAACTGGAGACATTAATGCACTGGAAGCAATAAGAGATATGGTAAGTGTCTCTCAAAATGTCCATGTAAATGTTTTGTTATGGTGGGCTAAGTCAGCCTGGCCTTTGGCTTAGATTCTCCAGCAAGAAATCCCGCTGTTATATTTTTCTGCATATGAATAAAAAAATTAAGGAGAATAAGAACCCCTCATAATGGCCACAGTAAGTGTGCGGACCCAGGAACTTGGCACACGTCTCAGATCTCACATTTTGGATTTTCCCTCACAAGAAAATCTACAGGTCAAAAAGAGACTAAATCACCCTAGCAAGGACACAGACTGCAATAGAAACTCTACCCTCAAAATTATGCTTTTTTTTTTTTTTACATTTTTTAATTCACACACTGTCACTAAGGCCTTAAATACAATTTTGCTTTATTGCTGCTTTCCTCATCAGGACCTTGTTTGTGTCGAAGACCACGCTGGACTGACTGGATCAGTCACTGGTTGTGGGTGGGTGATTTTGTTAGTGAGTAAGGAGATGCCCCTCCAGTAGGTCATGCCCAATGGTGGATACTGGTGGTGATCTCTCTTAGCGCTTGGGATGCTGCCTTTCTGGTACAGCCTTAAGGTCGTTTTCACATGCGACTTGGAATAATAATAAAGAAGGCGCGCCCGATGTCCACAAGAAAAGCAAGTTTGATGGTAAATTAAAAGGCATTGATTGAGACTAGCAACAAGTATATCGAGCCAACATGTTTTGGGAGAAAAGGGCTCTCCTTGTTCAGGACTGATGCTGCATGCTATTACCGTATTTTTCGCTCCATAAGACGCACTTTTTTCCCCCCAAAAAAGGGGGAAAATGTCAGTGCGTCTTACGGAGCGAATGTAAAGCCGGCCGGTCCGGTATTTCTGCCGCCACCATGTCAGAATATCGGGCCAGCCGCTCAGCTATTCTCTCCTGCAGGACCTTACCAGTTCCTCGCTCCAGCGCTGCAGTCTTCCCGCGGCGGCTTCTGTGACAGCTGGGTGCCCACTGCGCATGCGCGAGAAGCGCCGCGCTTTGTGAATGGTCCGGTGTCTTCTGGGACACATGACAGGTCCCAGAAGGCTCCGGGCCATTCACAAAGCGTGGCGCTTCTCGCGCATGCGCAGTGGCCACCCGGCTGTCACAGAAGCCGCCGCGGGAAGAAGGAGGAAGGAAAACTTCACGGAAGTGGGAGCGGGTACCTGTCAAATTCAGGTACCCGCTCCCCCTCCCTCCCCAAAGGTCCGCAGTCTCTGGTAATCTCCTTTACTGTCTGTAGTCTCTGGTCATCCCCTGCACTGTCTGCAGTCTCTGGTCTTCTGTACTATGTCTGCAGTCTCTGGCCATCTCTTGTACTGTGTCCGCAGTCTCTGGCCATCTCCTGTACTGTGTCCGCAGTCTCTGGCCATCTCCTGTACTGTGTCCGCAGTCTCTGGCCATCTCCTGTACTGTGTCCGCAGTCTCTGGCCATCTCCTGTACTGTGTCCGCAGTCTCTGGCCATCTCCTGTACTGTGTCCGCAGTCTCTGGCCATCTCCTGTACTGTGTCCGCAGTCTCTGGCCATCTCCTGTACTGTGTCCGCAGTCTCTGGCCATCTCCTGTACTGTGTCTGCAGTCTCTGGCCATCTCCTGTACTGTGTCCGCAGTCTCTGGCCATCTCCTGTACTGTGTCCGCAGTCTCTGGCCATCTCCTGTACTGTGTCCGCAGTCTCTGGCCATCTCCTGTACTGTGTCCGCAGTCTCTGGCCATCTCCTGTACTGTGTCCGCAGTCTCTGGCCATCTCCTGTACTGTGTCCTCAGTCTCTGGCCATCTCCTGTACTGTGTCCGCAGTCTCTGGCCATCTCCTGTACTGTGTCCGCAGTCTCTGGCCATCTCCTGTACTGTGTTCGCAGTTTCTGGCCATCCCCTGTACTGTGTCCGCAGTCTCTGGTCATCCCCTGTACGGTGTCTGCAGTCCATTGGTTCAGAATATTTTTTTTCTTGGTTTTCTCCTCTAAAACCTAGGTGCATTTTATGGTCAGGTACCTCTTATGGAGTGAAAAATACGGTAAATGGGAATGATTTCCACACCAGTTGTATACAGTATTTGCAAAGTTTCGAAGATAAAACTGACAAAGTGACAGTTGAGGTTCCAGGGGTAGTGAATATGGGATTTAAGTGATGAAAGTAAGGTGAGCACGCTATTACACACTAGTTGCTTTATCTTTCATAGGCAAAACACAGGTTCGCATTAGGGGTAAACTGTGTGGTCTGTACTTTATCTGGTAATGCTGGTAAGAGAAGAGTTTCCATCTCTCCATTTATAATTTTTTTTTAACAATCAGATTTTATTAGGTTTTAAAGCATATCAAGAAACACAGACATATATAGTCAACAAGTATCCCATACAGAAGGAGGTACAGCACAACAGAGAAATATTCCTATATATTTGGTAATGTACATCAAAGACCCAGAAATCCCTAGGGATCAAACCCATCTCTCCATTTATTTTTAGTTTTGGTTAGAGTGAGTGGGGAAGAACAGTTTAAATTTCTATCAGATTAATATTGGTCTTTGAAATGCAATGTCTCTTCTGCAATTTAAAAAAAACAAAAAACAAAACCTGCCTGCTCGCAGTCATCTTTGGAATGTACACTGCACAGCTCAGTTTACATTCTGGTACAGATCCTTGGTGCCAGGATAACTGAACTCCTGCACATGCACAGGAGTGATTTCATCCCACATCAGCCAATGAAGATGGCTGCAGTCTTGGCACCCAGAAGAAGCCAAGCAGATGCCAGCGAGGGATGTCGGACCATTGAAGCAGAGGTAAGTAACACTGACTTTCATGCAGTGAGTGAATAAAGCTCACTTAGCCTGGAGTAGTGGTCTTCAAATAACATATTTTACTAATGTGGTGGTCTCGTGTTTAATGTCTTAAATAATTTTGTATATCTGTTTTGAACAGGGGGGAAATCTGAGCAGTGAAGACTATGATGGCAGAACACCATTACACGTTGCCAGCTGTGAAGGTCACTACAGTGTGGTCCAGTATCTGCTTAATAACGGAGCTACTGTATATGCCAAGGACAGATACGGTGACACACCTCTGATGAATGCTGTAAAATTCAGGTAAGCCTACACGTTGTAAGCCCATCTTCACCTCCTTGCATTTAGATCCTCTTAAAGGGTTGGGGGGTTAAAGGAGAATTTTGAGGTAACAAACATACACTTTCCTGTTTTTGCATTGATGTGACAGTGCAGCTGTCCCATGCGGTCTCTAAGAGAGCTGATCACATAACCACTGATTTGCCAGCTATTGGTATGCTCAGGATGGATAGTTCCTGCACCCTGTGTTTTGCTCCTCCAGCTCTCACTGGAACACCAAGCTGGGGAGTGCTTGCGCGAATCTGACTCCAGCTCTCAGCTGTGTGCTAAATGGCAGAGGCAGTTAGGTGAATTCTGACAATATTGTCAAGATACTTCCTGTGCCTGGCGCTGCTCTGCCCCATCAGCTGATAGCCTGCTATCAACTGACTCTAGGTAACAGAAGTACAATAGTCCTGTGACTCTAAAGTGAAATACAGCCAAAAAAGGGCTGGCCCTGTAATATACTATATTTAGTTCTTTAACCCTCAAGATATTTTCAGGTGTTGGGTATGTAAGGCTGGACACATCTATGCACTTTAGACAGCACTGCAGGCCAAAGTCACACAATCAGCATACATTTTTTTAAACCCTATACTAGCCGACGTTGATGCATGCCATTTTTTTTACTTTCGCAAAGCTGTAATTATAAAAAAAAAATAGTCCCACCCAAAACCCTAAGGGTAAACCACTGCTGCTACTGGAATAGTTTTGATAAACATTATTTCTTTACTTCCACCAGTTCACCTTCCCTTTTAAAGCAGGAGTACGTGGTGGTGAACTTGCCACTGGGAACTTAAAGGTTAAACTTGAACTTCTAATGTGAGAAAATGGGCCTCATCGTGCCTCGCCCAACCGCTGCCTCAGGTCCTTCTCAAAGATTTCCTCATGTAGACTTTCCAGTGCCACTCCTGTTGTGATGCAGGTTTTCGTTCTTAGGTACTGTCATTGCATATTCCAGAGTGAGGTGTTGTGACAAGATGGAAGCTTTTTCTCTGCTCCTGCAGAGGCTTGTTGTGTTACATAACGTGTTTTACTGCAGCTTTTTCACAGATCCCTACAGAGTGCCCCAGGTTGCCTGGAGTGCAGCTTTAAAGATGTTTCTGCCAGGGAGTGATAGTAAAAAAAATATACACAGTATATGTAATTTTTTTGTTCTTTAACATTTTGTGTCAGCCTGTAATAAAATAGAGCACATTGTACAGAGTAAAAAACATGTATGTGCTTAAATGATTTTTTTATACATATTTTTAAGGTACGGCTATTTAATCAAGGAGTAATTAAGTTAATTATAACAGCATCAGCGTGTTGGTTATGTCACGTCCCAGTGACCCCTAGTTATAAAAGGGTTAAAAGGCCAATAGGGAGGGGAAGTGGGACCATACACCTTGTAAGAAAAAAATTCAAGGTTTGCATACACTTTGTGAATTAAGCCTTCAGGCTGCTATAGAGTATCTTTATGTTGGACTTGTGACTGTATTTTTCCAATAGTATAAAGGTAATGCTGGACAGGCCTGTATCTAGTTTTATAATTCAAACCTATATTCCCATTGGACCTTACAGGTACTCTATACCTGTTTTGGATTTGTACGGATCTCTTTGTGGGTGAGCACTTGGGCATTTACAGCAAAAATAATGTGGTGGCTATCCTTGGGGCTGTTTATTTACATGTGTGTATTGCAGTTTCAAGATATTAATTTATAATTCATTTATAAAGTCATCATAAAGAAAAAAACCTCTACTAGACTAATTGTCTATTGACACTAAACATCACATACTAATATTGTATTGCCGTTTATATCTATATCATAACTAGAGGCGCTTAAAAGCCACTCCCTCGGAGGGCATAGGGGTACTTGCAGACTCTAAATAGGAGTCTCCCAACAAGATTAGCAAGTATCCTGATTGAAGATTTATATATATATATACAGTGGGGATCGAAAGTTTGGGCACCCCAGCTAAAAATGTGTATTAATGTGCATAAAGAAGCCAAGGAAAGCTGGAAAAATCTCCAAAAGGCATCAAATTACAGATTAGACATTCTTATAATATGTCAACAAAAGTTAGATTTTATTTCCATCATTTACACTTTCAAAATAACAGAAAACAAAAAAATGGCGTCTGCAAAAGTTTGGGCACCCTGCAGAGTTAATATCTTGTACTGCCCCCTTTGGCAAGTATCACAGCTTGTAAACGCTTTTTGTAGCCAGCCAAGAGTCTTTCAATTCTTGTTTGAGGTATCTTTGCCCATTCTTCCTTACAAAAGTCTTTCAGTTCTTTGAGATTTCTGGGCTGTCTGTCACGCACTGCTCTTTTAAGGTTTATCCATAGATTTTCAATTATGTTGAGGTCAGGAGATTGTGAAGGCCATGGCAAAACCTTCAGTTTACGCCTCTTGATGTAATCCCCCGTAGATTTCGAGGTGTGTTTAGGATCATTATCCATTTGTAGAAGCCATCCTCTCTTTAACTTCAGCTTTTTCACAGATGGCATCAAGTTACCATCCAAAATTTGCTGAAATTTTATTGAATCCATTTTTCCTTCTACTCGTGAGATGTTCCCTGTGCCACTGGCTGCAACACAACCCCAAAGCATGATTGATCCAACCCCATGCTTAACAGTTGGACAGAGGTTCTTTTCATTAAATTCTGTGCCCCTTCTTCTCCAAACGTACCTTTGCTCATTCCGGCCAAAAAGTTCAATTTTAACCTCATCGGTCCACAGAACTTGTTTCCAAAATGCATCAGACTTGTCTATATGTTCATTTGCAAAGTTCAAACGATGATTTTTGTGGTGAGGACGTAGAAGAGGTTTTCTTCTGATGACTCTTCCATGAAGACCATATTTGTACAAGTATCTCTTTATAGTGGAATAGTGTACCACAACTCCAGTGCCAGATCTTTCTGGAGGGATCGTGCAGTCAAACGTGGGTTTTGAATTGTTTTTTCTCACAATCCTGCGAGCTGTTCTATCTGATATTTTTCTTGGTCTTCCAGATCTTGCTTTAACTTCCACTGTTCCTGATGACTGCCATTTCTTAATTACATTCCGAACAGAGGATATTGACATCTGAAAACGCTTTTCTATCTTCTTATAGCCTTCTCCAGCTTTGTGAGCATCAACTAATTTCAGTTTCAGTTTTCTAGACAACTGCTTAGAAGAACCCATGGTGCTGATTTTTGGGGCAAGGTCAGATGAGTCTGGGCATTTAAAACATTTGAGCTTGACATCACCTGGTCTTCCCAGACGATGATTGAGAACAATCCATGACACTGGCAGGTCTCAGCTTTGCAAAGGGGGCAGTGCATGCTATAAATTCTGCAGGGTGCCCAAACTTTTGCAGAGGCCATTTTTTTGTTTTCTGTTATTTTGAAAGTGTAAATGATGGAAATAAAATCTAACTTTTGTTGACATATTATAAGAATGTCTAATCTGTAATTTGATGCCTTTTGGAGATTTTTCAATCTTTCCTTGGCTTCTTTATGCACATTAATACAAATTTTTAGCTGGGGTGCCCAAACTTTCGATCCCCACTGTATATGTGTGTATGTATGTATGTATGTATATATATATATATATATATATATATATATATATATATATATACACACACACACACACACACACACACACACACACACACACACACACATATATATATACATATATACAGTCAGGTCCATAAATATTGGGACATCGACACAATTCTAACATTTTTGGCTCTATACACCACCACAATGGATTTTAAAATGAAACGAACAAGATGTGCTTTAATCAAACAATCAACAAATCAAACAGGTAAGTCACAACAGGACTCAATGCGCTACCGGAACTAAAATCAGTTCCCACCATATAACACAAAACACACGTGCATCCCAATAAAAACGCATAAACTAAGAACTGATCATGCAAACAAACATGAATAAATATATAAAGTCCTGTGAGGTGTAAAACACCTGACAATATACAAAAAACCATATACAGTCAGGTCCATAAATATTGGGACATCAACACAATTCGAATATTTTTGGCTCTATACACCACCACAATGGATTTGAAATGAATCGAACAAGATGTGCTTTAACTGCAGACTGTCAGCTTTAATTTGAGGGTATTTACATCCAAATCAGGTGAACGGTGTAGGAATTACAACAGTTTGTATATGTGCCTCCCACTTGTTAAGGAAATGATGGTGTCATGACTCTGCCTTGCATGATGTTACTGCCCATCTGATGTACTGTGCCCCAATTGGCTTTCTCAAGCTTCCTTTGCTCAGCTCTGCAACCAGCTCTTGTGAAAATTTCTGTCTGAGAACTCGGCTAACTGGGCTAGGACAATGTAAAACCAACAGAATCCTGTATTCTAGGACTGTACTTAAACTGAGCAATTACCCTCTGTTCTGCTTGTTTGTGTGGATACCCTAGAACAAGTTATGACACAAATCTCCAGATCTCTTATTTCCATTCACATGCACAGAATCTTGTGGCTCAAAGCATTTTCAGCTGAAGCTTCTTTTAAAAAAAACTCCTCACACATATGCCATTTAAAAGGAAGACATTTCTTGAGTGAGGTACTTAACAGATTCTTCAAAGCTGTCACAAGAGGAAAGATGTTTATTTCCCAGAGCAACGTTCCAAAATTTCCTTCCTCAGGAGCCTGTACCTCCTCATACGCAGAGCACCTCTGTGCTCTGCACAGGCTTCAGCTTCTTCAGACATTTCTTTCGGTGTAAGACTTGGCCCACTTGGTCTTCCCTAAAGCTGACTTCCCGATGAGGAGGCACCATTCACTCCTAAGATTGCCTATCTCTGGATCAAAGACATCATATACCTGTGGGTTCAGTCAGTGATTTCAAAGGGGTACAAAATAAAAAAATAAAGTACAAAACTCTACCTCCTTACCACTTCTCTCAAATCAACCAAAATCTATCCAAGGACAGTCAGATTTGTTGAATATCCAGAACCATCCCCTGACCTAGGAAGTATTTGTTCCAGTACCTCTCGGTTCAAAGGATTCTAGTCAAAGCTGTTCACAGTACCAAAACCCAGTGGGGATATTCTTCCTATCCTGATCATAAAATCTCATATCCTGAATCTAAAATTCCAACACAAATACCTTCAAATTCCAGAATTTTGCATGGAATCCACAAGGTCAGTTATTGCTTTTCTGTGGCAAGGGTAAAACAAGCAGCCTGGTGGGGAGTAAAGACCATCTTATATGCTTCTTCCGACTAAGTATATAATTTGGTCTTTTTCCACCACCAGGCTGTTCTGACAGCTAGCAGCTGATACTTGTGGCCATAGACACCACCGGCTTTTTGAGCTCAGAGTGATGAGCATGGCTCAGCACCAATGGATACCTCTTCTGCAAAGACACCCAATCAGAGTGCAATCATAATGTCATGGATATGGCCTACAGCAATTGTTATGGGGCACCAGGAGTCATATAGCCTTGAAGGAAGCAAGCCAGATCACCTCATGGAGAGAAGCACTGTCCATCGATTTCATGCTGGTAGTGGACAACCAAAAGATTGATTACCTCAGCTGTCACTGCCAGGTCCAAGGAGAATAGGTCCTTCATTCTGACATCTTCAACCAGATGTGTTGGCTTTGGGGTACCCAGATGTGGATGTCCTGGTCTCCAGATTCAACAGCAAGTTACCTCTGTTTGTGGTCAGGGCCAAGGATCCTCTAAAACTCATTGGATGCTTTTATAATTCCCTGGTCTCAATTCAGACTAATCTATGGCTTTCCTTCAATGCACATTCTTCCTCACCTGCTCCACAAAATAGAGCAGGAGAAGTAACTGGTGATTCTCACTGCACTGAATTGGCCCAGAAGAACCTGGTACACAGACAAACTACTTAGGAGATGACCTCTAACATCTTCCTGACAGGGGAGACCTACAGTCTTGGGGCCCTATACTCCGTCCTGCTTCTCAGTCACTTGCTTTAGTTGCATGCTTGTTGAAGCCCAGGTATTAGGGAACAGAGAGGGTCTCTGAGGCCATCATTCCTATTTTACCAAAAGCAAGAAAAGCCACTTCTAGGAAGATCTACTATCATACCTGAAAATCTTTTTTTTTTCTTTTTTTGCCTGGTGTAAACACAGGCACTTCAATCCCAAAGGTTATTCTGTGCCTTATATTTTGGCCTTCCTACAATCAGGTCTTGAATAGTAAACTTTCTAAACTGACAGGTTTCAGCCTTGTCCATCTTTTTCCAAAAACCTCTGGCCTCTCTCTCCCTTGACAAAAACTTGCTTCCTTGGGACCTCAGTCTGGTATTCTTTTCCCTGCAGAAACCACATTTTGAACCCATCGGGGAAATTCCTGTAGATGACTTCTTCTGCACAATGGCCTCCTTGGTTGCTATCATATCTGCCATACTTGTCTCAGAGTTAGCAGCTCTCTTGTAAGGAACCATTCCTCATTCTTCATAAGGACAAGGTAGTCTTTTACCCAAGAACATTCTTCCTTCCTTAGGTGTTATCAGTTAACCATCTCAGTGAAGACAGTCCTTTCCTCTTAGTGCCCTGCTCCAAAGCACCCAATAGAAATGGCTCTCCACTGTCTCCATGTAGTTAAAGTCATCAAAGTCTAATTCAAAGCAACATCTTCTCAAGAAGCCCAACTCTCTAATTGTCCTACCCTCAGGATTATAAAAAGGGACATCCTGCTTCCAAGTTCATCATCGCTAGATCAATAAAGACAACTCATCACCAAAGTTTAAAGTGGTAGTAAACTCTTATTAATTTTACCTACATGTAAGCTTTATTATAAGCTTACCTGTAGGTAAAAATTCACAATCTTCTAAAGGTTCACTGTTTAGAAGATATTCTAGAGAGCAGCAACCGGTGACATCACCGGCGCATGCACTCTGAATGTACAGCATACTTGTGCCATGGCTGAGACTCCTGCGCACATGCCGTGCAGCCGCAGCCCGCGAACCTGGAATGAAGACCAGGGGAAGATGGAAGCCCTGTCAGCACAGCGCTGGAGGGCTTCATTCTAAGGTAAGTCTCTCATAATGTGCTAGTATGCGGTGCATACTAGCACATTATGATATTCCCTTGCAGCAGGAAACTTTTTTTTTTTTTTCGTCAAATGAGTTTACTACCACTATGAGCTCTAAACCTCTATTAATACCTTTGCAAAGTTCTATCAGGTGGAAGTCTGCAGCCAAAATCTCTACCTGCAGAAGAACAATGTTCTTGCTCAACATTCTCTGAAGTTGGGTCTGTTGACCCTTGTTATTGTTGGGCCTGTTAGCACAGTTTGTTTGCCTAGTTGTTGCCCACCCTCTCATTTATTAATGGGTGATGTCCCAGGATCTATTAATATTCAGCCTATGTCCTATACAGGAAGATTAAAAAAAGGAGTTTTGATTTGTAAATTATATATTGGAGTACAGTACAGGGCATTGGCCACCCTCCCTTCTATTCCTAGATTACTCTGCATTGCTTGCTACAAAACTGAGGACTCCTAGTGGGGTAGGGTTATAGGGGGGACCCATGCTCTATGAATATTTAGTCTGTGTCCTAAACTGTACACTAAGATAAGGAATTTACAAGTCACAATTTAGTTTTTTTTTTTTTTTTTCAAAGGACTAGCAAGCTGCAATATGTCACATTTTTGTTCTTGGATTCAGGTATACCTTTACTGTAAATAACAGTGATTTGGTAATGGAGACATATAACACATCAGTTGATTCTGGTGAAGCGTGTCTTTTAAATTAAACTGTGTTTAATAAAGAGTCACTGGGAGGTAGGTTTTTGATTGAAGAGCCGAAGGAACCTATAAAGCCGTATTTGCCTGAAAACCTTTTTCTGACTCCTGGTGACTTTGTATACTGCACAGCACAAAGTAATATACACCCCAGCTCTATTCTCAGCATGCAGAGAATAGCCCCAGATGCTAGAGACAATGTAAGTCCTGTTCAAATGCATAGACGTTACAGGCTCAGTTGTTTCCCAAAGGCAGTAGAAGATTCCTGTGGGACCTGGAAGAATTGGCAGCAAAGATGGGAGGAGGACACAGGGGCAACAGGATCCTGGACCTGTAATTGTTGGGGATGGCACAGGAGGGGTTAGGTGTGTGCCATAATATGTAAGTATGTTGCGCAGATTATGGCAAAAGCTCGCTCCCACCAACTAAATTACTTCCGCTTTAATGATAGGTCCACATTAATGTAATGTATGTTTATTATGACAGATTAAAGCATCAAGCCCATTACATGCTACCACATGCTCAGACCCATATATGTATACCATTAACTGTGGGATCCAGAAATATTTTATCTAATTGCATATGCTGGTAATGACAGTTTACTGCTGTTCAAAATGCAAAACAAGATAGAGCAGCATTTCCCATTGCATCTAGTACTTATTTAAACACTTATACAGCACAATTAAGTTGAGGATTCTCTATAATAATATCAGTTGTGCAATGCAGGTAAATATTCTGGCACTTAAAGCAGTATTAAACACAAAACCAAATATGTAATATATTGCAGCTTACTGATCATGTAGATATGGTGGCTGCATTATTTTTTATTTTAGGCTTTTTTTTCCTTTTGTTGTAACCTGGTGAGCTTTCCACTAACACACCTCCTGTATTAGCGTGCCCTCTCTCTGGATGAAGGCGCACAGGGTCACCTTTGGACAGCAGCATTGTCAGTCTGGGGGGAGGGGAGTGTTCGATGTACTAACAGATTTGGATGCACTAATAAATTAAAGCCAAACTCCATCTCTTACACTTTATAAGCAGTTACAGGAACATTTTTTTTTTCCTTTTGAGATGAATGTTTTACATAAATAAAAGCTGATTATTGTAAGAACCCTGGTCAAGTGGTAAATGATTTGCCTCAACCCTCTAATTGCTACATCTGCAGGACAACATGTTCTGTTGAAAAACAACAGACGTACTGGCAGGAGTACCAGGTGTAATTTAAAGAAAGCCTAAAAAAGGAAAACAAATGCAGCCATCACCGCTTAGAATTGCTATTCTGCAATATAATAAATGTTTACCTTTGGGTTTAATCCTGCTTTAATTTGTTGTCAGAGCAATAAAGCAAAAATCCTTGTATGACCTTTACATCTTCTTCTGTACTACAGTAAAATCCCCTCACAGTCTGCTTTGACCAACATATGTCTGTGGCTGCAGATTTCAGGCTCCTGCATTAGTGTACATGGGAACAGGTAGGGCATAAGGATTGTTTAATGCCTGGTACACGTGGGCCGAATATCAGCCGATTCAACAGAAACTGACCGACATTTGGCCCTTGTGTACAGCGGCCTGTCCGACAGAAACCGGCCGAACATCTGGCTCCTGTAGAACGGGCATGCCAGAAAACAAATCTGCTGATCAGCATCCGATCAGTGCTCGCAGCAAATGGCTGCATGCGCTGACCAATGTGTTCTGGCAGAGGGGCAGTTCCCCTGTCAGAACACAATAGCTCAGCAGAGACATCACTGAACTAACCATTGCATAGTTAGTACAGAAAGCTCATCAGTTTTTTTTTTCGTTCAGCCTAAAAAAAAAAAAAAAAAAACTCAGTGTGTACCAGGCATAAGCTTGCAACTTATCTTTCCCACAGCACACAATTGGCTGTTAAATTGGAAAATGTTCACCAACATTAATTTTTTTGATGAGCAGATGAAGTAGTTTTCCACAAAATCCTGTATAATAGGTAATTTTACTTCTGTTTGTAGGCACTTTAGGAAGCACAAAAATTAAAAGTGTACTGGTGTCTGTTAGCTGTACAGCTGACATATTATTCTTTTATCTTTAGACAGCTAGAAGTGATTAAACTCCTGCGGCAGACAGGGGCTCATCTTTCCAGGGAGGAGTTGGAGCACAGCGGCACAGAACTCTGCAGGTAAGAAAACTCTTCTGACTTTGTAGTTCTTGTTGTGCATCTTAGGCCTGCACCATATTTGTGATCCTCTTCATGAGAATTTTGCCAATGACTTGATCCCTAGAAAATGTATGTACCTTAATTGGACACATACCTACTTTGTGTCGCTCCTTTGACGAAACACTTAAAAAACTTGGCGAGAAGTTGTTGCCTCATTCCTTCAGCTGATGAGGTAGCAACACATGCAAGAGAGTGGTTGTTTTCTTCTAAAGCAGTCCTGCCGTTGGCAGGACTTCTTGTTAGCAACAGGATCATCGGTGTGACATGGTCTCTAGACCAGCTACAGCATCCAACTCTGTAATCCACTACAAATCACTAGAGAAAAAAAGCCAGAGACATTTGTTGCTGCTATAAAATCGCCTATGTGACATAAGCCTTAAAAGAGGACCCATCCCTACTGTATAAACCTGTATCACTGAATAGGGATGAAATAAACAATCACATTTGCCTATATCCTTGTGACGTTTTCTTCATGCTTCCCTATTTTTTGCTACCTCTGTGCTGCCTGGATGCCTGGATTATGTTTGTCTGATAACGAGCATGCGCCAGATAAGTGCAAGAGGTCATGTGCTTCATCTTGTGTATGCGTCATACGGCACTACAGGCATCTTTTGAGGGGAAAGAAATCCTTCCCGAGACTTCAGGCAGAAGCTTTTTTTTTTTTTTTTTTTTTTTTTTTTTTTTTTCCTTTTTTCACCAGCAGATGATTGTAATTTTGTACAGTACATGCTCAAGATGACAATACTGCAATATTTCGCAGTTTAGATACAGGATTTTCCTGAAATTAATGGTGATGTTGCCTTCTCAGGGGCTATCTGTACAGCTGCGGCTACATCAGTAAAATCCACACGCTGCTCTTAGGGAAACCATAAAGTGGAAAAGAAAAAAGTAAAAAAGCAGGAAAACCATGTACGGCAATTCCAATTTAGGGGAAGGCCCACTTTACCACACATTAATATGGAACTATACTCACTTTCATTCCAGCACTGTGCTGTCTTGGAACTCATTGCCAGCCGCTGACATCTTCAGGCACCCGAACTCTGGGTTTCAATCGCCAGCCGATGTCTTTGGCTGAGCCAAAGTGACATTACTCCCACTCGTGTGGGTGTTCCTTCAGCTTTGGCATTGCCAAAGCTCACTGTGCATAGGCGGACAGGCAGGTAGGGTAGCTTTAATGCAGAAGAGACCAAATATGTGTCTTCTGCATTAAGAATCCTGCCTGTCCGCCCATTTTCATTTGCTAGCATAAAGTTCCACTTTAAGCAGACCCATTGAAAGTAATAGACATGTACCGCAAGTTTTTGACATTGGTAAATCTCTTGACATTTTCTCCCCCCACCTCAAGTGCACATGATAATAGTGTATCTAATGTGCACTCAAAACTTCCAACTGCAGAACTATCTCTATTGCCTCATAGCATCAGGGTAAATTGAAATCTTCCATCAACTGTCATTTTTCCTGCACATACAGAAATCTGAATGGCTACCAACTGGGGAAAAGCAGACTGTTCTTTCACACACATTCATATAAAATACATCAGCCATGAGTGACTTATGCAGGCTGTCATTGCAGACCTATACTTTTGTACTTTTGAGAATACCAGTTGCCTGGTTGTCATGCTGATGCTTTGACTTCACCTCTAAATTACCGACCTGGAATAAGAAAAGGGATAAGGAATTGGATGCTTAATTACAGCATGCTTGTTCCAAGTCTGCAAGGAAAGGAGATTAAAACAAGTGAGAGAGATGCAGCCAGTATTTTTTTCTGAGGTGGATGACTCCATACTTCTCTCACTACAAGTATATTTTAAAGGGCTGTCATTGCAGCAACCAGTATGATAAAAGGAGAGAGATATGAAAGCAGGAAGGAGCCAGTTTAGGAGGCACCTGGAAAGACTTCAGCTGGTCATAGATGGGTAATATATATATATATATATATATATATATATATATATATATATATATATATATATATAATTTATTTATTTATTTATTTTATTCACCCAACAGGCACACAATCAAGGTGTCTGGAGGAATCCTCCTCCCCTCACTGGGACATTGTAGTTTGACAATAGATCTCAGTGCTGTCAGAATACATTGATCAGCGGCTACAGCCACTGATCGACAAATGTTTTCCAGCTTGTTGCTTTAACAGATAATGTTCAAACACTCAAATTATGCTGAGCAGGGACGTCACAGACTGATCAAAATTTGGCCAGTCCCTGTTGAACCTGTAGAAGTTCGGTTCAGCTTAAGACTTATTCCTTATTTTCTTTAAAAAGGTAATCATTGGCTGTGAATGGTAACTACCTCAGCCTTTGCTTCAGTTTTCAGGGACTGCTACAAGATGAAGCAGCAGCTATGAGCGAAAGCTGCATTTTTGCTTTAATTTCATAAACTAGTCTGCAGTCTTCTTTAAGCGGCCATAGATGGTTCGAATCTCAGCTGGTTTAGCAGGGACCGGTTGAGATTCAATCCATGTGTATGGGCAAGCTGATTGTACCCAAGTCGATCCATCAATTGACTTGCGTACAACCAACATGTCAGATTTCTACCATGTGATTATTGCCAGCTGCTATAGCATGTAGCAATAATCACTGTTTTTCTTGCAGGGACGGCTCCCCACATACCCCTGCTGGGAAAACAGAATACCTCCACAGGAGGAATTGAGTGATTTTCTTGCATCATCTATGGCCTGCTTTAGTTTGATGAAATGGACCGTTTTGGGAAGAAAATTATGTCCAAATCAAAGCAACCCTCACAACTGTTCTTCCATTAGCACACAAAGACTTGTCATAGAAATTATATAAAGAGCAACATGGCCTCCTGAGAGGAAGAGTCTGCAGTGCATTCCAGGCCAGGTCACCTCAGGAAGTGTTGATAATATTCACATACCTAAGGCTTGAAAAGGTGCAGGGAATGCAGCAACAAACTGAAATACCAGAGTATATAGGGAGAGGCTGACACATGCCATTCCTTCACACAGAGCAGCAGAACCTTCTCTTCTCTGCCCCACCTTTCATTTGCTCAGCCAGTGGAACTGGTTTACTGGCTGCTGGATATTTCATAGATGGTGGAATGAAGGGGTGCAGGGTCCAGACTGATAAAGGAAGCCTGCAGTACAGTAATAGTGATTTTTACAATACCCCCAGCTTTCTTTTTTATTAAAGTCTAAAGTGTGTGTGTTTCTTTTTAAAGTGACCTTGTCACTGAGCTGGTTAAGTATACTTAAAGTACCTTCCCAGCAGCCTGGGTCTTCAAAAGCTGCCACTTGCTGCTCCCCAGGATCCACAGTGTGTGTCGCAGGGGGAGCAAATATTCACACACTCAAAAAGTGTTGAATCCCTGCAGAGACCAGGGAGCAGCGGTATTTAAAGACATGAGGGCCTACGGAAAAGTAAGTGTAGAAGTGATCCTATTGTAACAGAGTTACTTTAACTACTTCCCACCTATAGGGCATCTCATGCCTCTGACTTTTAGCTGCTATAGGGATCATCCTGCTATTTTTTTTTAAGGGCTGGCGATTCTATTTTATGTAAAAGCCATCCTAGCGGCTGGATTGCTTTTACAGGTGGCGGGAGGGGTTGTATCAATCTTGGCCTGATCTGATGCTGTTAAGAGCAGAGGAGACATCTTGGTTCAGAGAAAGGAACTGTCACTGCTGATTGTGGTCAAGGGATGTTTACATTCCTTGTGAGCGCAATAAAAGGGATTAAAAAAAAAAATGCGAAGAGACCATGTAAAAATAAAAAAAATTCAAATAAAATCGACCCACTGTACTTGCATGCAAAGGTGGAAGCAAGCGTCTGTCCCGTACGCATACGTAAACAGTGATCAAACGTGAGGTATCATGGCGAATGTCAGATTAAGAGAATTCTAGCACCAGATCTCCTGTGTAACTCTAACCTGGTAACCTGTAAAGGCTTTTAAAGTATCGCCTAGAAAGATTTTTAGGTACCATAGTTTAGCGCTGTTCCACAGGCATACGCAGTTTGAAACCACAACATGTTCGGTATCCATTTACCCAGCGTAACATCTATATTTTAGCAAAGAAATTGAGTATTATATTGTGTTTGTGTGCACTAAAATTCATTAAAGTGTATTTCTTCCAAGAGATTTGCATTTTAAAATAATTGCTGCACAAATATCATGTGACATCAAATATTGGAACACTCACCATTTTATTCTTTAGGGCCTCTGCTTAAAAAAATACATTGATTTTTAGTCATTTTCTAGCAAAAAAAATATGGTTTTTACATGTAGGAGAGAAATGTCAGAATTGGAATGCCTGGGAAGTGGTTGAAGGACACTTTAAATTTTGACATCCATGTGGGTACATGTTCCCGAATGCAAGAAAGTGTGAGTTCAGGGGGACACACCCACACAGATGTTGAATTGGGAGCAGCGGCTGTGTCTATCCAGCTGTTGCCTCCCAAATGACTTGAATGCGACTGCCTGCTGGAAAACTTGTCCTTCACATAGGCATACGCTATAGTACGCACTATGTGAACGAGGCTTATAACTTCAATTTTGCATCAGTGGTCTACAACTTATGTGCAGGCTTTGGCTGTGGTACTTCAGATCAGTGAAGTCAGACATAGCCAGACAGCTTCAGTACTGATCTGACAGGGGTAATATTAAAGCTAAAAAATAATTTTGACTGATAGTCTTTCAATTTATGTGATGACATAACAGCTGTGACCACCAGACAGAAAAGGCTGCAGGTTCTCCACAGTTGAGGTTGAATTCTGGGGAATCTGCAGCCTCTTCTGTTGGGGTCTCTACATGGCAATTGCAGCTGTGACGTTATCCTGTACAATGAAGAACCATCAGCTCTGCATTGTAAGTGAGAATCCAATGGGCCCACCCACAGCTCAGAACATTGGGGAGAAGAGGTGCATGCCAGCTGCTGGGGGGAAAGGAGAAGAAAAATAAGGTTGGCAAGTGTTATTCCTGGTACCTCAGGCAAAAATTTGCATTTTAGGCTACATTCGGACAGGCAACTATTGCTGGTGCACATGACAGGGGAAGGGATCTGATTCCTGCAGTTTCTTCCACCTATGAGCAGCTAGCTGCAGCCACTGAGCCCTGTACACTTTAATGACAGGTAGGCAGTGGCTGCAGCTATCTGTGGTTGTCCACCCAGCCAGCAATTACCTGCAGTAAGCGCTGCTGAAAGCACACAAAGTGCTTCCAGCAGCAATCACCACAGGTAATCGCTGGGTGGACAGACAGCTACGGCTAATGCACTCTGGCGCTAGTCACGCATTCAGATATAGACTGACTGTTGCAGCACAGGGGAATCCGACTGCAAGGATAATTTTTTTTCACCTCCCTGAGGTTCAGCTTTACGTTTCTATGCTGAGAATTTTAAAGTACACTTGTACTAGGAGAAATGCAGGGATTATTGTTGATGGCTCTTTTTTTTAAAAATGCCAATACCCTGGTATGCAAGGTTTCAATGACGGGCCTAGTATGTAACTGTGTAGTTTGGGCATATTGTTTTGCATGAGCTGGAAAGAGTATGCAAAAAGGGATTCGCATGTCAGCCAGGTAACTACAAATTTCAAAAGGAGGTCAGCAATTGCAGCCTCCATATACGGTCAGTACAGTTGTTTTGATGAGGGGGAAATCTGTAGTCTGCATTAAAATCCTAACACACAAAAGGACAGTAGCAAATCATACCATTTATTTGTATCTTTTGGTAAATCTTGCAAGATAGATGGTCTGTCTGATATAACTCTCTACAGATAGGTGACCTTCTCAGGTGTCCTCTAATTTCTTCTGCTTTGTGACCAGGCATAGCTGATATTGTCTGGCTTGTACTAATGGTATCTCTCCTCCTTGAAATAACATCCTGTCTACTGTCACTGCATTGTGATGTCTTTACACTGCATCAAATACTCACCACTAATAACCTGTTGAGTTCAATTATGTTGTCACTGATACAGTGACAGATCTTTTTACTCCTGATTAGAACAGAGACCTCAGACATCTTCCAAGTACTCTGAAAGGGTTTTATGTTTTGGTCTTTGCCATCAAGATTTACTTTCCAAATTATGAAAGCTTGAAAGGTAAATGATACAGGGCAGAACATGATAACCTCCTTATGTTTTAGTAAACAAGTTGCTGGTATATTTTTTGTTTCAGATATGTTTTGGCTATGCTTTAAAGTGGTTGTAAACCTCAGACATGACATATGGCATATCCCTGGGTGTTTGTCTCAATTTTAGGAGCACAAAGTGTCATTTTTGTTTGCTGCTTCATTCTTCTGCTATCAGCATGGATCACTTCCTGACACAGTTTTGTAGACATCAAGGGAAAAAAGGTGACAGGGAGGGACCTCCAAGCACACAGCCTGTGATTGACAGCTTCAGCTCTGTGCCTGTGTGAAAGGGGGGGGGGGTTCCACTTTCCTCCCAATCAGCTTTCAGAGCTCTGCAGTGTGTAATTCAGCTCTCTGTGACAACATGTTTCACATTGAAAGCTGAAGTGATGTAACACTCTTTTGCTTCCGCAGTGTGATGAGACACCTAGATAACAGGTGGGAAGCCTCACTTTGTTTTTTTTTTTCTGACAGCTTTAGAGTATTAAAAGTGGAATCTAGTTGAAATGTTTTTTTTTTTGCACCTTGAAGTGGCATTACCATAATACCACAACTTGTACTTTTTAACACCTTCTATTTGATGCAGTATATGCCTCTGATTTACCTTTACAGCTTGGCTGCCAGTGGGGATGTGGATGGACTGACTGCCTGGGAGCTGGCTGGTGTCGACATGGATCAAGCTGGTTATGATGGACAAACACCTTACCAAGTGGTGAGTGACTGCAATAAAGTAAAGGCTGGTGCCATGTATGTCTCTGACATTGTTGTTACACTGCTCTCAGCTCTTATACTGTGGAAATGTACTGCTACTTTCTTATTTTGTTTTTTTTTTTAAAAACCTACAAAACCTTTAAATACAAACCTATTTGATTAAAAAAAAAAGAGAGAGAGCGGTTTGGTTTGACTGAGATAGGGGGAGAGCTGTAGGTTTGCTGTTGAGGGGATCAGGTGTATTCAAGACCAGCCTGGCCAATCATAAGCCATACTTTCACTAGATCTTTGAAACGTGACATCAAAGGCCCCAGGTTCTTGTCGAAGGATCTTTGGGCTAAAAGCTCAATGTACAGGCTTGTTGGATATGCCACCACCATTTACAGCAAGGTTCATTTAGGTTTAGCCTCTATCCCGTTAACGAATGAAAGTCAATGTTTCATTCAATGTCATGTCAATATTGCCACTTTTCTGTGGCAAAAAAAAATAATCGTGTGGTATTCTCTGTTATAGAAGTGCATTGGTAAACTGTCTCTTCTTAAAGCACTACTACACTTCAAAGAATTTTCTTGGTTGTTGTTTTGAACACAGTGAGGACAGTAGACTTTAGCCCCCTGATGGCTAAAAACAGGTCACAAGAATGCAGAACGAACTGCACTCCTGTGACCTTCAGGAGAAGTATAGCCAAACTAGCTATACTTCTTAAAATAGCGTAACAAGAGTTTAAATTTGTGAGTTCATTTGATTGCATTCTATATCCTTGTTGAAATGATTCCCCTTTTATTTATGTGGACCCCAAGATAGGGTGTAAGGAGATATCTCCCAAATGGAAACAGCAATAAAAGAAAAGAACAGGGAGGCCACTAATCATGGTCAGTAAGCAACATTATTGGCCTCACTATTCGTGAGGCATAGAAAGCTGAATATATACACAACCCCAATTAAAAAAAAAAAAAAAAGTTAGTATAAAATCAACATAAAAACAAAATGCAATGATTTGCAAATCTCAAACCCTTATTTTATTCAGAAAAGAAAACATATTGTATCAAATATTTAAGAAAAGAAAATGTACCATTTCTTAGGGAAAAAAAGGTCATTTTTAAATTGAAGACCGCCGCACCTCTCAAAAAAGTTGTGGTACTAACCAGAAAGAGTTAGACCAATTTGAAACTAATTAGGTTAATTGGCAACAGGTCAGTAACATGCCTGGGTATAAAAAGAGCATATATCCAGGTTGGAGTGTCTCAGAAGTAAAGATGGGCAGAGTTTCACCAATCTGTGAAAAACTGCATATAACAATTTCAGAATAGTGTTCCTAATGCAAAATTGCAAGGACTTTAATAATATGTTCTGTAGATGATGATATATATAAAAGATTCCAAGAATTTAGAGATATCTGTGCACAAGGTACAAGACCCAACCATTTGACATTCTTTTTGGCAGCCATGGGTAATGTGTCCTCCTGACTAAAGAGGAGAGGGTCAATTCAAAAAGCCAGCATCACCGATGGCATGGGGGTGCATTAGTGCAAATGGAATGGGCAGCTCACACATCTGGAGAGGATGAAAGATATATCCAGGTTGAAGAGCAGCACATACCCTCATCCAGACAATGTCTTTTTTTTTTAGGGAAAGCCTTGCAAATTTCTGCAAGTCAATGCTAAACCATATACTGACAACAGCATGGCTTTGTAATAGAGGAGTCCAGGTGCTTAACTGGCTTGCCTGCAGTCCAGACCTATCACCAATGGAAAATATTTGGGGTATGTTGAAACGAAAAGTACAACAAAGAAGACTCAGTCTGTTGAGCAGTTATATATCCTATATCACGCAAAAATGGTACACACAGTTCAGTTTCCAGACATTTACAGAGAATTGTTAAAAAAAGGAATGCTACACCTTTGAAAACATGACCCTGTCCCAACTTTGAAAATTTGCTGCCATCAATTTCAAAATTAGCTCTCTTTTTTTTTATACTTAAAATGGAACATTTTCTCAGTTTAAATATTTGATATGCTTATTATTTGCTGCTGTGAATAAAATCTGGGTTTATGAGATTTGCAGATCTTTGCATTTTGTTTCCATGTTAACTTTACACAGCGTCCCAACTTTTTGGAATTGAGGTTGCAATACATTAACTCTAACGTTCCTGTTCTCCTGGTAATCTGAATCCATGTTTGCCATCTAGTCTAATATGTGTCTCGTCTTTCAGGCAGAGGCTGTGGGGAATGAAGAGGTCTTGGAATTTTTTAACCAGAAGCGGGCACAGGTAAGCTGCTTGTGTTAAGACTATGCTGCATATATAATTAATATAACTGCATGGCAAAAAAACCACAGTATGACATCCACTGGAGCTGTTAACCCTGTTCAATCTCATTCTGCATTCTTTTACAAGTTGTTTTTTTGCGGTAACCCCTGCCATTTTGTCTCTCAGTGTGAGCAATTTAAAGTTGGTGGTTTTTCTCATCCTATCCAGACTTGGTCTCGGGGGGTCGGATGAGGAAACTGTGTCATGCCTTTCATGTGATGCATTCCCCACCTACCTTTTCCATTAAGAATGCACACAGCACATTGCTGCCATCTTCTGTAGAGACACAGCCACAGAAACACGATCAGTGTTTGGGTTATAGCAGCTCCTGTATCTGAACGCACAAAACCCCATCCATTCGAATTTCCATTACATGAGTACCTACTTAGAACAGGGTAGCTTAGCCAAAATGGCTAAATATCCTGCATTTTGGAAATGGCCCAGAGGAAACCCAAACCACTGCTCCCTCTGAGGCACCCAGAACCTAGCGTACCTGATAAAAACGGATTTTTCTGCCATTATATCTGAATTTTTAAAATTCTTTGCACATCTAGAACCTTCCATTTCCAGAGTCCACAAATGTTACATATCCTCTATTCCCATAATCCTGTTCAGGATTTAGACACAAAACCTCCGTTCCTTGACGATATTATTGAGAAAAATGCTGAGGAGTTTGTGCCTCAATTCAGTGGAATTACCTTCCACAAACTGCAGATTCAAGCCAAATGTTTTCTACTGTGGCGATACTAGTTGATACAGTCCACACTATTCTTTGCCTAGCAGGTCCTGACTATCCACAGCCTAAACAAGCCCTGTGGGCACAAAAAAAACTTGCTTAATCCTGAAACACTCTACCAATACACATTATAAGGACTGTCCCAATCCTAAGCTTTTTACTGAAATGTATATTTAAAAGGAATTTAAGAAAAAAATGGGCTGTTCCGGTGATGAATCCTGTCATTTCAGTTCTCAATTAAAACCTCACAGTTCCTATTGTGGCTGTTCCTCTCTTATGCTTAGTTCCTCACATCCGTGAGGGTGGTGCCGCTGCAGGACTCCCACATGCAGCCACACCACCCACACAGAGGAATGTGGGACCTACGGAAAGGTGTCATTAATTTTAATGGCACGCTGCCCAAACTGGAACTCATAACCATACTGGGAACCTCAGTTCCCATTCGGGCTGCGATTTCTGAACGAAGAAGGGCAGGGATTTCTTCCCTGTGTGTCTTGGGGCACAAATGAATGGGCTCTCATGCACGTGCAGATCGTGGCCTGCACAGCCGCACATATGTGAACCTGGCCATCAAGAAACCCTCAGGTAGCCTTTACCCTTGCAGGTCCTGCCCTGCAGCCTGCTATTGTCTGCCATGGCTATTTGCCAAGCTATAGCTAACTGGACAAGACACATGATTAGAGATCAGGAACCTGTCTTTTATAACAATTATAGCTGATGCCCTCAGCATTGTTGTTTTGTGTTGACACTCTAGAGAATGTAACTCACCAAGTTTCTAGAATGTCTCTTATCTCTGCTCTTTTACAATAAGGTTCAGGCTCTCCCTGAGCATATGCACACTTTCTATACATGCCTTTTAATGGCAATTGCCTTTTTGTAAAATCCCTTGATAAATTTAAAAAAGAAAGTTACTGTGGGAAAGGCTACTGCTAACTCTCAGCGAAAAGAACTCTCTCTCTCTATCTCTGGGTGTCTACTTCAAAACCAAGGTTTACCACCTCCTTTCATTGGAAGTCCTGGACACCCAAGCCTGTCAGGTAACCCTCCTCATAATGAAGGGGCACCCCAACTCTTAGGAGTGGACGTCTGTTGATGTTTGTACCAGACTGGATTTGAGATACCCCGGGCCCTCTGTATCCTTTGAAATGGTAAATTGGAACCAAAGTAGAGTTTCTATCTTGCTTTTTGCCTTCCAATCTGCCAGCTTCACACCAAAAGAAGGCAGATTAAAGCTGGCTGTGCATTAGTAGAATTTCTAGTTATTAGTGGGGACAAATTGACATGCATTTTCAACTGAAGTGATATAATTTTTCTTGAACAAATTTTAGTGTGTGTGATTTTGGTTCAGGAAAGTCCATTCATTCCAAAATTGCATGTTAAAAGCAAGTCACCCGAATGTACTGAGAATTTTTGTATAAATGTTGGCGTGAAAATCTACTAGTGTGGGGCCAGCTTTAATGACCACCTTGCCCCTTCATATACAAAGAGTGGTTGTACCAATTCCTTCAGATTAAAGATTTCAAGGTTTCTGTTCAAACCTATTCACAGTCCCCAAAAATGGACTTAGAAGCGTCTTCTTGCCTTTCTTCTTGTTTAGAGATTTTAAGTGCAGCAATTCCAGCTATTTCAATAGAATGTACAGTTAACCTCATCCCACCCACCATATAAGGAAATGGCGGGCGGCGGCTCTCTCTAATTGTGCATGCGCTCCCCCGGGGGCTCCTGGCAACCGGTGGCACGCTGTGTCCCTGGGACACAGCAGGTCACCTATCTCAGTAAAGATCCGAGGACACAGGCTCTATCATGTGATCAGCTGTGTCCAATCACAGATGATCGCATGTAAACAAGGAAATGCCAGTTATCGGCAGTCTTCTCCTCACACTGACAGCGTGAGGAGGGGAGAAGCCGGTAAGCGGCATTTCTCAGAGAGGACATCTACACTGATCATTAGGGCACTGATTATCAATGCCACCTGTCAGTGCACATCAATGCCACATAGTGGCAGAACTGCTTGTCCATGCCCATCAATGCAGCCTCATTAGCACATATCAGTGAAGGAGAAATATTACTGATTTACAAAATTTTATAACCGAAACTATGGGAAAAAAAATTTTTCAAATTTTTTTCAGTTTGTATAGCTGCTTCTCAGTCATTTGCTTTAACTCCATGGCTGTTAAAGCCCAAGTCTTAAAAGATAGCAGTATTTCTGACCCTGTTATTATTCCACAAGCCCATCCAACTTCTGCAAGATATACCATTGCACATGGAAGTCTTGCTTTGCAGGAAGCTGAGGCCCAGGGAATACTTTTCCTTCTTCAGTGTGGTATCAACCAGCGTCTGGCCTTCAATACCCTCAAAAGGACAGTTTTCTGTTTTATCCATTTTATTCAAGAAACCTCTTGTCTCACAGTCCTTTATCAAGACCTTACTTCATGGAGTTGCTCATATAAATCCCCCAATTCATCCTCTTTTCTCACCTTTGGATCTCAGCCTGGTACTGTCTGTACTCAGAGACCTCCTTTTAAACCAGTTAGAGATATTGCATTTGAAGACCTCACTTCTAAGGTTGCTTTCCTGGTAGCTTTTACATCTGTTAGGCATGTTTGTGAGTTGGTAGCTCTTTCCTGTAAAGAGCCTTTTCTCGTGTTACACAAACACAAAGTGGTTTTGAAGCCACAACATTCCTTCCTCCCTAAGGTGGTCTCATCTTTCCACTTCAGTGACAACATTGTTGATCTTTTTCTTTGTTTTGCCCAAAATATGACAAGGAAATTGTGGCTGTCAGATAGACCCCCAGACAATGTAGGGCAGAGTCCAAGTGTATCAAACAACTTATATCAGAGATTTACACTCTCAGGGACAGAGTTGCTCCTTTCCCTATCAGAGCCCCATTCCAGCAGGGCCAAGTTTTCTTTCCACACATTTTCCAGGTTCTGCTGGGTTGATGAGAGCTTCAACCAAAAAGGTGATTCAAGCTGTTATCGGAGGGTTTTTTTGTTCAGGTTTTCTAATTATTTTCTTGTGGGCTTGTTGGCAATTCTGTTTGCTACGTTGATGCCTACCTTTGAGTTAATTGCTTGGGTATGTCTCGTGGTCTATGAATAAAAGTCCTGTACTGTACTAAGACCAGAACGTTGACTTTTGCACTAAATTCAAAGATAAGGAATTTATAAAAGACTTAGGTCAATCACCTCTGTGTATTGATCACTCCTTATTGCTTGCTAAAAAAAAAAAAAAAACAGGCGTCTGAGTGTGTGCTGTTTAGGCTGTCCTAGCAAGCTCTTTGCCAGTGTCCAATCACCTGGAGGTGGTCTTCGTATAACCAATGGCCTAATGAAGTCTTGTACTTTAAGGTATGTAATTTACAGGGAAGTTGAAATTACTTTTACATTTTGAATAGAGTGATGATGAATTTGAACCCCCCTCTGTGTCCCTGTTTGGGAGATTTACCTCCTGTATTTTCCTTGTGAACCATAATCACTGGGACTGAAAGCAAGGAAAAGTCACAAATTGTCACCAGAATAGGAAGAGAGGGGAAATCCTCTAGGGACAGGTTTGTATATATTGCGGTCGTTGTGAAATACAGCAATGTGATGTTCTACCCCTCACTGCTTGCACTACTAAAGGTGTTTGTCATATGATTCCCTAATGAAATCTACATGCCCAGAATGATTGAAAAGCATTGTGTTCTGGGAAGGGGACGGGATTGGAAACCCTTTCTGTGGCCAAATCTGCACCATGACGGTGAAGAGTATTGTTTCCTCATCACACTCCAGCTCTTGAATAAAGTGTCCTTTTTATTAAGGAATTTTGGTTTTCAAAAAAAATTCAAGATGCAGAACAGTATTCAATAGAAATGATTTGATTGTGGAATTACTACCAAATTTGGAAAGAAAATTAATGTGGTAATTTAAGATGTTTATCATTAGCTGAATGCAAAGAAATGTGAAATTACTAGCAAAACTTGTTATAGCCGAAAGCTAAATTCATTCTGTGCAAAGTTGCTGGTATCTGAAATGTGTAATAACACTCCAAGTTTCTGCTGAATCTTATATGGTATAGATTTCCCCATTATATTAATTCCTTATTACAGGCTACACAGCCCATTATAGTCAATGCCTTATTACAGGTTACATTCTGATTTTAATAAACAAGACTTTTCTACAATAATAATCTTGCATTAAGGGTGGTGTGTCTCCTCTACTCTGCTGAGACATGTCTCATCAAGATGTTCACATTCGGCGTTCTTTCCTCCCATTGTGCCTTATTATTCAATCCATCACAATCAAGGCCTCTTTCCAGAAAGCTTATCACAGGCCTCCACCCTTCTAACTCAGCTTCCCTCCCTCTCTTTAAAGCTTCCATTAATTGTACTACTACTGGATTGAAAAAGAACATGTAATCCAAAACATACAAGTCACTTTTATACAGAAGTTTTACTAATTTGGGGCAGTCAGCAGATTTTATGATCCCCTAACACAACCACCCACCCATTTAAAGAATATTAGGCATTGACAGTCTTAATTAGGAGAAAGCCCCTTGGGTTTAGGCCTCTCCTTTAGTGGTACCTCATCACACCAAAAACCTTTTTTACCTCTGTGAACTCAACAGCCCTTTTCCATTAAAATGCCTTTAACCCTTTACCTTTCATGAGCAGTGCTCATCTCTACAGCAAACTTCTCAAATGGCACTGAAATAGTGGGACTTGTAAGAATCCCATCATCCGACAGCAGACTTTAGCCCACTGTCATCTGAAAATGGGTCACAGGAGTGCAGAGCGAACTGCACTCTTGTGATCTATAGGAGAAGCACAGCCACAACAAGCTTTGGCTGTGGTTCTACTTTAATTTCTTGTTTAGTAATGCCAGACACACAGCTGTCCCTGGTAATAAATAAATTATGTCCATAAAAGAAAAAAAAAAAAAAAAAGTATAAATGCTTCACAAGCCTCTCCTAGGTGTGCACGTTGTGATAGTGAAGCATGCTTGGTAAAGACCACAGGTGCATTTGAAATCTGCCTGAATGTGTGTTTTTCTGCAGGAATTCAGACAGGCCTGTCTGTCCAGTTACCAATTTTATCATGTTTTCTCTGTTTCAGGTTTTCCTCAATGGCAATTCGAGTGACAAAGACAGCTATTTAAGCAGTTAAATAATCCTAGCAAGCATGAAGATATGAGGACACCAGACTATTGTTTTCAAGCACAAAATGGCACAAGATGTGACATCATAATGTTAAAACATATCTGTAATTGTTGAGCTGTATCTATAGAGACTCCTGAGGAGCCTCCCTTATCCATTGGAAGCCTCATTTATCTATGAGCCTGACAAAAAATGGTTCATGTTGCCTTGGCGCTATAGACTTTGCAAACCGTATTTTTTCAGAAACTTTGATAAACAAGGCTTCAACACTTTTTTGTGGGGTATTGATTTTTGTTGCTGTTTGAGAAAAACAATCACAGACTTGAAAAGTTTTAAACAAGCACATAGTTTAGAACCCATCTCCAACTTTTTTCTTTGGCTTTTAGAAAAAAAGTGATTATTAACTATTGCCAGTGACCGCACTGGGGAGATTTTCTCAGACTTCTGTGCCAGTGCCACCAGGACTAGAAATGAGGGAAATTGTTGTTGCCAGGGCAAGAAGACAGAGCAATAAATGCCTGACAAGGCTATATATCTTCCCCACTGTTTCTAAAACTATTTGGCTGAAGTTGTGCATTATTACCAGCAAAGATTACAGTTGAAGAAACAGAATCCTGTATAATTATTTAATGTTTATTATCTTACTGTTAGCACATACTTGAATATTTGAATGTGTGTATTTTCTTTTAGTCTTACAATTTTAACGTGTAAGTGAGCTGTTTGTTAATGCACAATGTACACCTATTTCTATGGGTGTGTCAGGGATGTTTTGTACATTTGAGGTATTGTATGTTCACAAGTGCACATTTTATATGTCTCAGGACAGGGAGGGGAAAATGGCTGCTTCTGAGAGAGAGAGAGGACAGTTATGGCAGACATTGTCTGCAGCTTAGCACAGCTCATTAAAACAGTATTAACAAGACTGTCAATATCTTTCTTTTTATTGAAAAGTGTGACGTGGCTGTAATTTACATTTGTATTAGTCTTAGCAATAAAATATTTTGTCAAACAAGTTTATCAAAGTAACTGTTATCCATACCGATACTGCACATGATGTTACTGAGGGGACGTTAAAATTAAATTGTTTAATATGACATTGAGCTAGTTTATTACCTATTTTGGGACATTATCAAATCCACATTCATTTACATTTATGTATAATTACCTGCTCCTGAACACGGCTTCAGATTGTGTGTTCTTGTATGTACAGCTCCTGCTGAACCTGTTCTAAGAAGGCCCATGCAGTTATAGATAGCCTGATACTATTCATTTTCTCTGACAAAGTAAATAACCATATAGGCAAGCTGCACTCCCCAATTCCTACTCTTGGATCAATTTATGTGCTAGCGTTCAAGTACACCCTTTCAACAGCAATTATGGGAAGCCAAACAGTTAGCATTTACAGAAACAAGTGAGTAGTAGCAGCTTCTGTGTCTCTTTTCCAGGCCAAAACTTCCCAAAACAGGAGAGTTCCAATTGAACTGTTCTGTTCACATTTAGGACTAGCAAAATGAGGGTGAAAAGAGCAGCTGGCTAACATTTGGGAACCTGTCTGGTTTCTATTCTCCCATATGACCCGTGACAGTTAATTAGGAATCCGGTCATTAAAGTGGTTCTAAAGGCATAAGGGTTTTTTTTTTTATCTTAATGCTTTTAGGTAAAAAAAAAAAAAAAAAAAACCTGGATGTAGATCTGAAAATGCACCCCCCTCCTTCAATTTGCCTGAGCCCCTATCTTGATTCAGCGATGTGCATGAGAGCAGCGGCTCTGTGTGGGTGCGTCTCTCCTCACTGGCTCACACACCTGCAGTAGGATCGGGGCTGCTCTGTGCAAAACGTTTGGTTTTTTTTCTCCCTTATTACAACCTTTAGACTTTATATAAAAAGATGTCATTTTAAAAAGGTGCCTATAGTCATTTAAAGGTTTTTTGTACAACATTTATGAATGGGCAACCAACTGCTTGAGTTAAATGTTACCGTTTCAGATTAACTGATCATTTTGAATAATAGAATAGAAAAATAGTAAATGTAAATACTGTTCTGTGGCAAATGAACAGGAAATTACATTTAATATTGGTCCTCTTGTCAACATGGCAAAAGGATGGGCATAAGTACATAGCACTGACTAGTGGGCATAATCAAAATACAGTGGGGATCGAAAGTTTGGGCACCCCAGCTAAAGATTTGTATTAAATGTGCATAAAGAAGCCAAGGAAAGATGGAAAAATCTCCAAAAGGCATCAAATTACAGATTAGACATTCTTATAATATGTCAACAAAAGTTAGATTTTATTTCCATAATTCACACTTTCAAAATAACAGAAAAAAAAAAAATGGCGTCTACAAAAGTTTGGGCACCCTGCAGAGTTAATATCTTGTACTGCCCCCTTTGGCAAGTATCGCAGCTTGTAAACGCTTTTTGTAGCCAGCCAAGAGTCTTGCAATTCTTGTTTGAGGTATTTTTGCCCATTCTTCTTTACAAAAGTCTTCCAGTTCTTTGAGATTTCTGGGCTGTCTGTCACGCACTGCTCTTTTAAGGTCTATCCATAGATTTTCAATTATGTTGAGGTCAGGAGATTGTGAAGGCCATGGCAAAACCTTCAGTTTACACCTCTTGATGTAATTCCCCGTGGATTTTGAGGTGTGTTTAGGATCATTATCCATTTGTAGAAGCCATCCTCTCTTTAACTTCAGCTTTTTCACAGATGGCATCAAGTTACCATCCCAAATTTGCTGAAATTTTATTTTTTCCTTCTACTCGTGAGATGTTCCCTGTGCCACTGGCTGCAACACAACCCCAAAGCATGATTGATCCAACCCCATGCTTAACAGTTGGACAGAGGTTCTTTTCATTAAATTCTGTGCCCCTTCTTCTCCAAACGTACCTTTGCTCATTCCGGCCAAAAATTTCAATTTTAACCTCATCGGTCCACAGAACTTGTTTCCAAAATGCATCAGGCTTGTCTATATGTTAATTTGCAAAGTTCAAACGATAATTTTTGTGGTGAGGACGTAGAAGAGGTATTCTTCTGATGACTCTTCCATGAAGACCATATTTGTACAAGTATCTCTTTATAGTGGAATAGTGTACCACAACTCCAGTGTCTGCCAGATCTTTCTGGAGGGATCGTGCAGTCAAACGTGGGTTTTGAATTGTTTTTCTCACAATCCTGCGACCTGTTCTGTCTGATATTTTTCTTGGTCTTCCAGATGTCGCTTTAACTTCCACTGTTCCTGATGACTGCCATTTCTTAATTACATTCCGAACAGAGGATATTGACATCTGAAAACGCTTTGCTATCTTCTTATAGCCTTCTCCAGCTTTGTGAGCGTCAACTATTTTCAGTTTCAGTTTTCTAGACAACTGCTTAGAAGAACCCATGGTGCTGATTGTTGGGGCAAGGTCAGATGAGTCTGGGCATTTAAAACCTTTGAGATTGCCATCACCTGGTCTTCCCAGACGATGATTGAGAACAATCCATGACACTGGCAGGTCTCAGCTTGGCAAAGGGGGCAGTGCATGCTATAAATTCTGCAGAGTGCCCAAACTTTTGCAGACGCCATTTTTTTGTTTTCTGTTATTTTCAAAGTGTAAATGATGGAAATAAAATCTAACTTTTGTTGACATATTATAAGAATGTCTAATCTGTAATTTGATGCCTTTTGGAGATTTTTCCATCTTTCCTTGGCTTCTTTATGCACATTAATACAAATTTTTAGCTGGGGTGCCCAAACTTTCGATCCCCACTGTAAGTATGGATAAATAGTTTCAACATTGCAGTATAGGTTGCAGGCACACAACAATATTCTTATGAAGCCAAATAATCCTTAAGAACTGTCAGAGGGAACATTCTCACAGACAATTATAAACCACAGGATGAAATGTCATTTAAAAACAACAAAACTCCTCCATTACATATGCTTTATCTGTGCACCGAAAATGAACACTATGAGGTTGATTTACGAAAACTGGAGAATTGTTACCATGCACAGCTGCACCAACTTTGCAATCAGCTTCTAACTTTAGCTTGTTCAATTAAGCTTTGACAAAAAAAAAAAAAAAAAAAAACTCTGGAAGCTGATTGGTTTCTGTGCAGAGCTACACCAGACTCTCCAGTTTTAGTGAATCAACCCCCATGTGTAAACCTACACAAAAGGAAGAACTTCACTGAAACACCTGGGCTTTATCATATCCAGCAACTGTTGGGACAATGAGCACTTGTCCAGAATATTAAGGCTACTTTCACACTGATCAATGGCAAAAACGCATATCTTTTTTACAGCATTTGTGATGCATTTTTTTTAAAGGATATGTGACTCAAAAACGCATCAGAGCTGCATTTTCTTTCTTACCACAAGTAACTAGCAAAAAAAATGCAGCAAGCAGGACTTTAAAAAACACACTTGACCAACAACGGATCAGTATATGAAGAGTTCCATAAGAATACATGGTCACACATTTTTCTTCCGCTTTCTTGAAACGCAAAAGCGGAACAAAAAAGGATCAGTGTGAAAGCAGCCTTAACCTCTTGTCAACTGGGCTATAGCTGAATGACAGCTACAGCACAGTTGTCTAGTTCTGGGAGGGCATCATATGACGTCCTCCCAGAACGCACCCCCAGCGATCTCTGTGATTGCAGTGTCCTTAGGACACAGCTGATCAAATGATGTGGTAAAAGGCCAATCATAGTGGCTTTTTATCACGTAATCAGCTGTGCCCAATGACACAGTAGATCAGCAGGTAAATACAGTTGCCGGTTGCAGGCTGCACTTTCCTCATGCTGTCACAGTGTGAGGAAAGTACTGCTGATAATTGGCACTTGTAAGAAAACAGCAGTGCCACCCACCTGTGCCCAGCAGTGCTACCTATCTGTGCGAGCTCATCAATGCACATCAGTGAAGTAGAAAATTTACCTGTTTGCAACATTTTTATTTTTTGCTTTGTAAACAAAAGAAGAGCAAAAAATATAAACACCAAGTGGCGATTAAATACAACCAAAAGAAAGCTCTA